GGCGGTCAATTTGTCCGTGAACGCCGTCCGCAGGCCATTGTCCTTGATAAGGTGGAAGTTTATCAACAGTCACTGAGCGCGTCCAAAGATTTTCGTGGGTAGGGGAGGGAGGAGCAGTTCTTCTGTGCCCTTTCGCCATAACATCCAGGGGAGATTAGATAAAGGGGGGAGGCCGAATTCAGAATAACACTTATTGTTTTGAGAGCAGGCTGCACAGGAATTTCCCGTCAGCCATGAGTCTTTTCTTGCTGGCTCCACGTGGCGAGTCTAATATTCCAAATGTGTTGGGTTTTTCCCGCCTTGAAGCGAGCGTGCGCATCCAAGATATTCAACATATTCTCATTATGAGTGCGTATGAAATCGTACGAAAAGTTATGCTCACTATTTCGTACGTTTTTGGACGTTTTTCCTCAAAAAACCACATCAGTGCGCATGCGCTGGCAGACAGAAAAAAAAAGCAGATCCGCGGACGGACGTAAAACTGGGAAAAACAGTGCAATCATCACTTATTCATGTCTCTAACTACGTTGCTTGCTGTTTTATATCTTAGGGTTAGGCGTTAGACACTCTCTCGATGACCCCCCCCCACCCAGTCCGACGACTAGAGCAGTTGGTTAGGGGATCAAAGGCATTGCACGGGCCGGCGCACGTTCGTTGATATCTCTCAGATCCATAGCCAAGTCAGTTTGTAGAACTTGGAGAATTAGGGTTAGCTTTTAGAGTAATGGCTAGGTTTTAGGGTTAGGGCAAGGCTAAAAATTAGGTTTTAGGGCAAGTGTGAAGGTTAGGGATCGGCTAAGTGTATTTTTAAGGTGTTAGGTTTAGGTATGGGTTCCACTAATATTAGGGTCAGGGTTAGGGCTAATTGTAATTTATACAGAGATGGGAAGTAACGAAGTACAAATACTTCGTTACTGTACTCAAGTAGATTTTTCTGATATTTTTACTTTACTACTTATTTTTATGGTGACTTTTTACTTCTACTCCTTACATTTTAAAAAAATTGGCTCGTTACTTTAGTTTTGAATCATTTCAATGGAGTTACCGTTATTATTTTTCACGTCATCAATACCAAATTCAATCTAATTGGATGGGAATCTACGTTGCATTTGACGCACCGCTACAAGATGAATCGACAGATTCGGCGGTATTCATTGGCGGCAAATCATTGCAGCTTGGTGGCGGTGGCGTTAGCATAGTAGCATGGACGACGAGATGATTGAAAATGAACACAACGGAGATCTAGTCCTATTGGCAGACATCCATTTAAAATGTAGGCAACGGCATGAAAAAAGTGCTTTCTACTTTTACGCTTTAAGTAAATTTACAAGCCTGTACTTTGTTACTTTTACTTGAGTAAAGAAGTTTAATCAGTACTTCCACTTTTACCAGAGTATTTTTTAACACAAGTATCTGTACTTTTACTCAAGTACAGAAAGTTAGTACTTTTGCCATCTCTGAAAATTGCGCATCAGAGTTTGCATTCTTTTAACTTCAAGCAAAATTTAAAAAACATTGTTTTTAGCACCTGCATTGACCAATAGAAATGTAGCTTCACACCCCCCAGAAGTGAAAAGATGTGATTTTATTTATCCCTTGGGATCAGAGATGGCAAAAGTACTCACTTTCCGTACTTGAGTAAAAGTACAGATACTTGTGTTAAAAAATACTCTGGTAAAAGTGGAAGTACTGATTAAACTTCTTTACTCAAGTAAAAGTAACAAAGTACAGGCTTGTAAATTTACTTAAAGTATAAAAGTAAAAGTAGAAACCACTTTTTTCATGCCGTTGCCTACATTTTAAATGGATGTCTGCCAATAGGACTAGATCTCCGTTGTGTTCATTTTCAATCATCTCGTCGTCCATGCTACTATGCTATCCACTTTTACCAGAGTATTTTTTAACATAAGTCTCTGTACTTTTACTCAAGTACGGAAAGTGAGTACTTTTGCCATCTCTGAATTTATATTGTATATTCGCGAATGGTGCGTCAGATGCACATGCGCATACGACGAAAAAAACGTCCAAAACGTACGAAATTATGGTGCATAACTTTTCGTACGATTTCACACGCACTCATAATGAGAATAGGTTGAGATATTATCCCATCTCACATTTGAGTTCAACCACAGCAGCCAGCCAGCGTTCAATCACACCCAGCATACGGCTCAACTCCCAATCTTGATCTTGCCTTTGTGAGGGCGTCAACCGCTGCCGGCAGCCTGATCGATGCCCAAATTGCCGCCGACATCCTCTGTCATTGTGGTTACATCAGGTATCCTCAGAATCCAAACAGGGGAATCTCAAGTATCATAAATCCATCTTCTACATCGTCCACTGAGCGTTGTGAAACACACCATCCTCCAAGCCTTCCAGGAGTCCATGATGTTTCCCATGAAGTAAGTCCCAGCAGGACAGGAAGGGCCCCTTTTCCCCGTCTTCCAGTTGAGAAAATGTGATCAACTGCATACTAGTAAAAAATGTTAATTATCTCCACAGCTGCGTTTGGATATTCCGGCTGTGAGGCGGACCTTAATGAGAAAAATGGTGAATCCTAAATCACTTATACGAACGATTTAAGAACCTTTTCTTTTAATAAGAAGGCTTCTTGCAGGAGGCCTATTGTTATATATTCACTGACGGAAAAAGAAATGAATATTAATTCAGTTTATCTTACAAAAAATGGACAGAGGGGTGAGTAAATGGACATCCAGCATTTATTATACGAACAATATTTACAGACATTTCACAAAGGAATAAATTAGAAACACATTAAGCTAACTTATCCCAGTTTTAAATAAGTATAATTAATAAATTATATGTATGTAATGATCACAGGAAAACGATCAGTGCAACATGATCCACAACAGATAAATATATACTATTTAAAAACACTAGTATTTGTTTCCACTGCTGTAGTTTTCACCTGAGCATAAACAAACTGTTGCTCTTGGATTTAAACTCCATTAAGAATAAAATTATTTTTTTATTACCCACACCATATAAAAAATCTTTAAAACATGTAACATGCAGGGTAAATGTGATGGCATCTGCAGAATCCTTATTTTGACACTTATCAGCCAGTTTTCCCAGACATTCAACACTTTAGGAAATCCTTGCTGGCTTCCATCTTTAAACACATATTGTTCATAATAACTGAAGCCTGACAGCTTTTTTTCTTTCAGTGCAAATCTGTATGAAGGTTTTAGTGTTTAAACCAAGGTCTAATATTTAAATGGAATCGGGTTTAAATTATCAAAGATAAATTATTGTTTTGGAGAGTTTAGTTTTATACTAAATATTTGCAAAGGTAAACTGAACATAGTTGCAATAATGTTTGACTGAAATATATTAACATTACGAGAATAAAGTTGAAAAATGACAAAAATCTATTAATCATATTTTATGCAGGGGCAGATTTACCATCAGGCAATACTAGGCAGTTCCCTAGGGCCCCAAGTTCCTGGGGGCCCCAAAAAACTCTATTTAAATGTATGGTTAATACAACTATTCCTTATTTCTGCTCATTAATGATGTTTTTGATAAAATACCATCAGAACGCTGATAATATTAAGTGTGTCTCAGCCCCCCCCTTCAGTGTCCACCATATTGGATCAGTCCATTTGCTGCACATGTTCAGAAAGGTCCAAACAGACAGCAGCAAACCATTTGAAAACAAACCATGCAAAGAGCAGTGTTGCTAACTTAGCGCTTTAGTCGCTATATTTAGCCACTTTTCAGACCCCTCTAGCACTTTGATTTCTAAAAAGCTCCTAGCGCCAAATCTAGAGACTTTTTTCTGCTACTGGAGACTTTGGAGACAACATCTAAAAGCAGCGAACTCTGCTCTCCAGAGCGAGTAGATTGGTAACCCCGCCTCCTGCTCTCCTCTATCTTGTCTGCTGTCATGATTCATGCAGCTATTATTTCATCCAAATGAAAAATGGAGAACAGATAAGCAGATCATGGCTTGTCTACAGTGAAAAGAAGGACTGGGTTATTTACTTTGGCCTTTTTGGAAACACAGGAAGGAGCAATCAGCTAAGTGAGCTTAGTGCTTGGAAAAAATCTTTCATTCCTTTAGAGACAGCATGAAAAGTCAGCTGAGTACAAAACATAGAGAGGAAAACAAGAAGAAAAGGGACAAGAAGAGAGGGACACAACCTAGAACAGATAATGGATGTCTATTCTATTAACATTTCTATATCTGTAGGATGGCCCCTGATTTGAAGGCCGCTGCACTAAAAGACTGAATATTTCCTCATTTGTCAAACCGATGCATCACCAGATGCTGGACATTCCTCATTTTAGAGAAGAAAGTGCTTCTGGTTAGAGTTCCAATACAAAAAAACTTTATTCTCGTAATATTAGGACTGCATTCTGATGATGTTACGACTTTATTTTAGTATTTTATGACTTTATAATGTTACAACATTATTCTCATAATGTTATCACTTTATTTTTGTAATAAATAAATAAAAATCAATAGCCTGACCACAATACCACTAGATCTTCAGTAACTTTACCGAACATCATTATCAAAATACTTGCAGAATATTATATAGTAAATATGAATTATTTTAGTTAATTTCCCTTTTTCCCAGTAGTAATATAGGCACCATAGAGAGAAACAAGTGCACCCCATGGCTGTGTTTCTATTGGCTGGAATGGTTGCTAGGCAACAATATGATTCCAATCGGTGAGAGCAAAAAAAAGGGTGGGAAAAAAGGCTTGTGAGCAAATTTCTTAAAGATTTCATGTAAAGAGCAGTAAAAGAAGCTTTAAATCTGAGAGCAGAAACAAAGATTTAATGGAGAGAAGATCAGAGAAGAAGAAGGAGTTTTACATGCAAGCAGAGAGAGACGGTGCTCTGAACTAGGCAGGACAAGCCTCCATACGGCGGCACTTCCTGGGTGCCGTGGCGACCAACATCAGGTCAGCTTTTAGTCATCCAGAGATTAAAAATCTGTAAACAGAAATAACGTTTCCTTTGATCCATGTGGAATGTCAGAGGAGACCCGCGCCGAGCCAGAGTCAGGATTTATTATGGTTTCCAGGTTGGTTTGTTCTTTGGAGACGTCCTGCTTTAGCGACGTAACCAGATCCAGGTGTTGATGAGCCAGAACGCCACCGTGGCCGAATACAGCATGACCTCCCGCTTGGAGCGCTCCTTGTTCTCCTCCTCCAGCAGCTGCAGACGCCTGTTCAGCTTTACGATCTGCACGAACACAAGAACAAGAGGCGGACCGTTCACCAACAGAACCAAAACCGGTCCTGGTTTCAGAATGGGTCGATAGAATCATAAACAGAAACCCAGACTCGCCTGGCGTCTCAATGACGAAGCGTCGACTAATCCGGATTCTTCGGGGTTCATATCCAGAGCCAGGTCCAGGTGGGTTCTGTTGGAACCAGAACATCTTTGGTTAAAGTCATGTCATGAGGAGAGCTCTCCACGCAAAGCATTCTGGGATATATCTGCCTCTTCTGAGGCCTTCCTTTTCTTCTCATCCTCTTCGTAGACACTTTTTCTCTTCCGACCCTCGGCCATTTTCAAAGAACGGCGGTGAGAAAGGTGAGCTTCAATGACCGTCTGAAACCGTAGCTCACCACAGATTTACGCCTGAAAGTGCGCATAAAAAGCTAGCTAACGGGACGAGCTCGGAGGCCTTACGTAAACATATCACCAGAATGATTGACAGTTACGTTTTTTACTATTTGCTTTATTTACCTTCGATTAGATTGATTAATATTCAGATAGTCTCCTTTGGTTTGTTGTTTTTGCCATTAGCTCTCTCTGAAGTCAAATGGTCAACCTGTAATTTCTCAATTAAAAATACTTCCCTCTTAAATAATTAACTTCATAAAATGTTAAACATCGTGTGTGTTTGCTGCTTGAGACCTGAAGAGTTCTTCATGTTACGATCTGGCCACCCCTAGATGGGTCGTAACATGAATTGGGGGCTTGTCCCAATTTTTTAACTTGGGTTTTTTTGATTTTCGTGTTTTCTCTCGTTCTGTTTGGTAAGTGACTATAGATTTTTCTGGCAGTTTTAAGGCCAGATTATACTTCTGCATCCGCACACATCAGATGTCGCTTGGGTCTGGTCGTGAACCAGTTTAGCTGGTCTGCTTCTGCAACGTCGGTCTGGAATTTCTAGGGACGCACAGCAGTTTCCCGCTAAAGCGCAGGGGAGCCTATTCGAGAACTCGCGAGAACTTCGGCGGCGCCAACGGGAGTGTTTATCTTCCAAAACAACAACGGCGCGTCTGCAAGATTTCAAGGTCACAGAGATGAATCTAGAGTTGGTAAACATTGAAGAGGAACAGGTTCTGTTAATGGAGTTGGCAAAAAGACAGATTAACCTTTCGTCATAGTTGTCCATCTTAGTTTTTCTCTGGTTTTTAAAACCAGCGCACCCTGGACGACCACACCGACAGCCGGAAAGGCACCAAGGGCCAATCACAGCTGCTTTTTGTCTGTGCACTTCCTCTTGAGGTCAGTGTGGGTTTGCGACCATCTGACACCTCTGCCCAGGGGGCGTGGTCACGCACAGAGACAGATTTGACGGTTGCAGAGGCGATGCGTCAGAAGCATAAATTGGCCTTAATGCTGTACGATTTTTTTGCACTTTTCAGGCTGACTTTCCAGTCGTGCGGGAATTTTTCAATTGGGCCAACTTCCAGCCTGATGGTGCGTGGTGTAGTGAACGGGGGGGTAACGAGGGGCGATCAGCCTCTAACGACCGCCCCCCCATCAGGAATCGTAAGGTCGGGAGAAAATCAAACATGGTTGAAATTCAGGTTTTCTGCAGCAAATCCTTCTGTTGAAGCAGAGCGACAAGCGTTTAAAAGCCAATTTGTTGTTTTTCCTTCCTTGGCTAAAGGAAACTGGTTTGGAGACAACAACGTCCAGATTCTGGCCAAGGAAGACTGATGGTTTGAGAGAGGAGTTAAGGAAGCCATCTTTGTTAACCTGGTCGTCGGCAAATCTCTCAGCGGGCAAACAAGGATTCTTCTTCTTCTTCTTCTTCCTCTCAGATGTAAACCCAGCACCATGGCGGGGGGCAATGAGTGAAATGGAGTTCTTCCTGTCAAACTGCCAGATCGTAGTAGCCACGTTAGCTCAGCCATGTCTTTGTCCAAATACGTCGTCTCCTTTTCTTTTTAGGGCTTTCAGCACTAAATTGCCCAAATATCCAAGGCAGCGCGTTTCACTCTAGTGAGCTTCATGTTCCTCTGCTACTGGTTTGGGTTCCAGATAGACGAGTCCCAGTAGCGCCATCTCACTGCGGAGCTGAGTCCCACCTGGTTTTTAGACGTACGGAGTGAGCAGGTAGATCGCATCAGAGCGTCGGGTTGCACAGCGTGGGAACAAACATGGTGAGCTGGGAACTTTTAAACCCTGCGGTTTCATCGTACAGTTTCAGCTGTAGCTGCGTGCAACGATTGAAACAATCATACAGTTTATGCCTTAATTATGTGAAAAAGAATAAAGTCAAAAAATAGTGAATAGGAAATAAATCATCAGCAGTGGTGAACTGGCCTTCGCTGGTTATCGTCCAGGAGTTCCAGGACTTGCTGGTAGGCACGGCGCGTCGTGGACTGGATGTAGGACAGAAACCCTGCGGCTGTAAACAGGTTGATGTTTGCGTCTTCTGGAGAGCAGAGGGGGGGGCACAGGCGGACCGGAGGCGCAGAAGGGGAGGGGGACGCACTACCAGGGGAGGGAGTTAGAAGATACAGCAAATCAAAAAAAATGATGAAGGAAGGTTCTTCATTAAACCAACTGGGGTTTAATCAGGTGTTCCTACCTGACATCCCCCCTGCTGATGTGAGCGCTGTGACGACCAGATGTGTTCTCAATGGCGCTGCGTTCCCTCCGGGAGCGGCTGTTAGAACTGACCTGTAAACGGAGAGAAAGACGCATCAGGTTGGCGTTTCAGAAAACATCTGCTGGACCTTTGAGAAGCTGCAGCTCTTCTTTTCTGATTACACCACTCCAGCAGATGAAGAACGTATCTTAGATCCTCCATGTAATGCTACGTTCACACCGCACGCGATTTCAGCATCAAAAAGCGCCTGCTGCTTCATTTTTTTCCCCCTTGTACACATAAAGGTCAGAGACGCCTCAGGAGCATCAAAGGCGTCCAGTAAAGTGTCATGATTTGTAGCTGTAGTTTTGTAAAGCTAGAACTTTTTAACCTGTATTTAAAACTTTTTGTTTTCTCACAGATAAAACATCTAATGTGTCGTTTTATCCTTTTCAGAGGATAACATCAGGTTTTCGGAAAAGAACCGTAACTCGTCGCAGCGAGCCGTTCACTAAATGGAAAAATACAATCATATTTATGACGTGGAAACAATTTTAAGACCTAGCCGGATTTAAGACATTTTAATCCATATGATGAACCTAGTTTGATATTGAATGATTCTATGACTTTAAAGGAATAGTACACCCAAAACATGATTAGCCTTCATTTTCTACTCACCCCCATGCTGAACAACACTCTGGAGTACTTTTTTGATATCTCAAATGCATCTGGAGATCTGGGAGGCTTCTTGCTGTCTGCTGACATTCAAATAATGGAGGTCTATGGCGCCCGAGGCAGAAAGGTCCATAAAAGTCCACAAAAAACGTGTCAATATTCCTCCATACTGCTCGTCCAATGTATTCCAAGTGTCCTGAGTGGGTAGCATCCAGAATTTACTCGAAACGAAGTCATTTAGAATGTTTTTAGAGCATAAACAGTAGTGTATAGGATTGCCTAAAAGCGCGTTCACGAGTCTACGGAAACCGCGGCAGACCAAACCAGATGAAAGTGCGCATTCAGCGTCTGCTCTGCCGATAATGCAAGCGTAGAAGAAGAAATGTGCTGTTTACCTGTGCAAAGAAAGAAACAACGAAAGAAAAATGTCTGAGGACTTCAGTGTTGAGGAAGAGCATGAGTTCTTTGCCGAGCTGAATGCGCACTTTCATCTGGTTTGGTCTGCCGCGGTTTCCGTAGAGTCGTGAACGCGCTTTTAGGAAATCCTTTACACTACTGTTTATGCTCTAAAAACATTCTAAATGACTGCGTTTCGGGTAAATTCTGGACGCTACCCACTCAGGACACTTGGAATACATTGGACGAGCAGTATGGAGGAATATTGACACGTTTTTTGTGGACTTTTATGGACCTTTCTGCCTCGGGCGCCATAGACCTCCATTATTTGAATGTCAGCAGACAGCAAGAAGCCTCCCAGATCTCCAGATGCATTTGAGATATCAAAAAAGTACTCCAGAGTGTTGTTCAGCATGGGGGTGAGTAGAAAATGAAGGCTAATCATGTTTTGGGTGTACTATTCCTTTAAGGATCTGTGGGATCCCTTGGGTGCAGAATCCTTTTCTGTCGCCCTGATCATCATAACCAGAAGTGAATATTTATAAATTTTTTACCTCTTTCTGATCATCTGCTAAAATGAGTCACACAATTATTTATATCCTATATTATCTTTAATAAGCGTAATAATTTTCCTCTGCACTAGTGATTGGTATTAGCCTTCTTTCATTTATCTTATTGGCTAAACAGTTTTGACCTTTAAGTTTTCCGTATTTATCGGAGAGTTTTGTTCTGTCGGTCATTGATGGGGTCCAGCAGTGGCACCCTGTCCTGGTCCTCTGGGTCCAGGCTCCTCTATTTTCCATAGACAATAAAGCAAAGTGCTCCATGTTTGTACTCACAGCCTGGCTGGGATTACTCTGGGAGTTGGCAGTCTGGTTTGTTTCCAGGGAGTCCAGAGGCTGTTCTGTCAGGGTGAGGACACGCGGTGGAGCCTTCATGTTCAGGAGGTCCACAGACGGAACCGACTGGATAAGATCCAGGTCTCTGGGTTGAACAAACCTGGATTCTCCTTCATCGCCTGAAAGCAAAACACAGAATTAAAGGACGTTTCCTTTCTGCCGTTCCTGGCCCCCACTGATGATGGAGAAGCACTTTATGCTGAGATGATGCAAACCTGCAACGACGATTCTTTCAGGAACCTGCATCAGAGTTGTGTGCAGCAGCGGCGGCGGCTGAACAGGAATGGGCCCCGTGCCGCTCTCAGGGGCCACCTTGAGGGTCTCAGGTATCCGCATGCGCTGAGAGATGCCCTCTGTGTACTCCAGCTCATAATGGATGCGGTTTATCTGCGCCACCTCTGCAGGCGGGGTAAAACTTGGCGCACTCATCCAACCTGCAGCCAAACGGATGGAACAGCGATTTATGAATAAATTCACCAAAAGAATAAAAAACATTTAAAATCAAGTCAGAGAGATTTATGGAGCAAACAAAACTCATTTAACTCCAACAACATCTCAGTGGCAACAAGACAGGCAGACTTTCCCGCAGCAGGACAGTGACTGCGTTCTCACAACACACCTACTCAGAATTAGAGCCTCAACAATTAATAGGCTGCCCCATTTAAGCGCCGGGCAAAAAATGCAGCGGATATAAAAATTCTATTTTTGATGCAAAACGGCTGAAAGAAACTTTGGCTGCACTCATTCTGCTCCTCTGCCCCTCGCTCCCTTAGCGCTGAGCCGCTCCGTGCTGCTGTAGGTACCAGACTGCTCGGGACCCCGCCCCTTCTTATGATGTCATCATATGGCAACCCCACTCATTGCCACGGACGAACGAGTGCTCACCTTTGGAATGGGGGACGTTTGGTTTCTTTAGTCACCTGCAATTCCCCCCTTTCAGAGACATAGACAGGTATGGGGCATTGCAGGCTAACAAAGAAGCCAAACGACCCCCATTCCAAAGGGGGGGACCCGTTCATCCGTTTCTATTTGCATGTTTTCTAAATAAAAACCAGGCTTTGTTGGGCTGCTGGATAAAACCTGGAACTAAACGCTATTTCCAGGGTTGTCAACTGACTCAAACATCTCAGCGTCTTCACACACTCTTATTCCACATTCCCAATTTCGGTTATCTAACACCTGATTGGTCGCCCTGCACATTAAGGCGAAGCAAATCGATTACAGAGACTCGATTCGTGTTAACCCCGCCCCCTAACTTTGATGGGTGAGTTTGACAGATTCTTTTAATGGTTTCGATGCACTGCGACACAGGACCATGAAATAATTAAATGCACACTGAAATGATTATATATATTTTTTTAATAAAATGAAGACGTATTTTATTAAATTAATGACACATTTATATATTAAATTACTTTATTCATTTAATGAATTCCACATTTAATTAATTGTTTATCGCTGTATTTATTTATTTAATTGTGGCACTTTATATTAGTGACGTGGTTTTAATTAATTAATGACACACTTATTTATTTATTTAATGCTGTATTTATTTATTTAATTTTGGCACTATTTATCCTCCATACTTGAGTTCAGGTTTGCCTTTCTAACCCATAGAAGCTCCAGAAAAAGAACCATTTTATTTTTCAAAATGTGTTCTGCACATCCAGAGAGGATGTGCAGAACAACTCAGTGATCCAGGATTCATAGAGAACCAAAGGATTTTATCATTTCTTATCTTATTAATCTATCCTTATTTTGGTCCACTAAATATGTTAACTTAATTTCTATCACATTTTCCAAATGAAACATCAAGAAAAGTGCTGTATTGTGTCATGGTGAGTTTTTATAAAACCTACAGCCTCCTAGAAGGTCTGAATTGTTAAGCTGTTTTGACAATTGTAAGAAAATCTAATAAATTAATGAATGAAGTTTTTTAATCCTTAGCCTATTACCAAATATTCATACACAGTGAAGTTTGCATAGTAATCGATTGCACTGGTTCCTATATTAGTGCCAGATTCCTTTGGTTATTTTACTCAAACTGCAGAGAATAATTAATAAACAAAGTTGCTTACAGTATATTTAATATGCAAGTATTTTAGTAGGGCCTATTCTTCTTTACTTAACTTCTCTAAAAATCACCAGAATAGAGAAAATAATGGATATTATGAGAAAAATGTTCCACATAACTTCAGATCACTTGTTGTTATTCAGTAACATTAAATCTGCTATAAAAATCCCACATTCTGACACTTTGCTTCAGTTAAATCCTCTGAAAACCTCCAACCTATAGCTGCTCCTGTCCTCAGAGCCTTTTGATCGAACCCTGAAAGTCTAAACTATTTCAAAATCTCACCCCAAGGTTTGCTGAAAAGTTGGCAGCCCTGTGTTCGTGACATTTTGAATTGAAAAAGCTTCCTGGATGGGAAGAGAAATGTCTTCAAACTTGGAAACAACGTCCAGTGGATTGTTTTTTTACTTTTTTTTTGGAATGACTATGACCTGGATGACTGAGAATCTTCCCCAGTGTGGTTTGGACCCTCTCTGATTGGACCAAACTCACATCAAAGGGCCAGCATGGTACACCCACCAGCTCATCTTTTAAAGTCATTCTTTATTTATCTAGTTATTACACCTTATATTAAACTGTGATGATCAACAATTGAAAGAGTGTTCATTCATATTTCTATAAATGATGCTCAATATTAGCAGGCAAGATGACGTCATGCCTGCAGGTGTTGCATTTACCACTGCAGCTAATTTAAAGAGGGTTGCTCTCCCTACAAACAGTCCACTGGACAGGCTGCCCGGAGCCGCAGTAGCATCCTCGGACGCCCGCTGCTTTACCTCCTGTGCTTCATTAACTGTAGATGAAAAACAGCCTTTTTTTTCCAACAAGAGGAGTTACATAACAGCGACATGACTGGCTCTGATGCTGACACGCGGCTTCAATGTCACAGAATGAACGACGCCGCCATGTTCAGCCTGAATGGAAGGCTAATATCAAGCTAATTATTTATAGCGGCTAATGCTTTGGCTAACATTAGCCAAGCTTAAACGGTGTCGAGAAGCGCGGCAAACACACAGCTGAGTTTACTTACCTAGGGTGGAAGTCCGGGGTCTAAAATGTCATCTCCAAGAAGTGTTTACTTCCGTTAGGTGAAGAGCTTTAACCGCAGATGACCAGAAAGAGGAGGCGACAGCTCCGAGTGGAGGGAGCGCTTCCTAACATCCTCGAGCGAATGACGGTGGGGGGCGGGGCTTGGGGAATTCTATCGCTCCGAACGCCGAGCCGCTAACCGGCGGTGCACAGCTTGCAAAAGGAACGCACAACACAACAGTAGTTTAGTGAAATTAACAGCCGCCTCCTAAAGGAAATCACCTGTTTCGTTTTATTTAAATGAGTAACATGCAGAAACTACGGAAGAGGAATAGTTTCACTGAAAAAATAAAAAGGGTTAACTGATTTTTACATTTTATTTCAGTATATTATGAGGAAAAGTCAGAATTCTGACTTTTTTCTTGGAATTCTGGCTTATGATAATATTATTATTATATATAGGCCGATATAAAAATAAGCAGGACTGCTCAGTGACATGGTGGGTAGCACTGCTTCCTTGCAGCAAGAAGGTTCTGGTTTCGATTCTCGATCCGGAGTCATTCTGCATGAAGTTTGCATGTTCTCGCTGAGCATGCGTGGGTTCTCTCTGGGTACTCCGGCTTCCCTCCACAGTCCCAAATTAGCTTCTCTAAATTCTCCTTAGGTGTGAGTATGCATATCTCCAGCTGTCTGTGTTGTAGACAGCTGGTGATAGGCACCAGCACCCCTCACGATATTTAGACATCTAACATGTCTGGTAATGCATATATATATATATATATATATATATATATATATATATATATATATATATATATATATATATATAATGTGTGTGTGTGTGTGTGTGTAGGTGTCAAATGATTGAGTTGTTTTTTTTCTGTCAATAAAGCATGCAATTTATTTCATCACATGACTTTTTCAAATGAGAAATATAACAAACGCTACAGGAGTGACAGCATCATCCACTTAATAAAGAATTCCTGCATTAACATTTCTCAGTGAATCACTTTCTATTTCCTCTACTTTCTATTTTCTAACGTTAGACCCACTGTCAGTGGCTAACTCAGTCAATGTCTTCCAGTCAGTCTGAGATAGCCAGACTAATGTTTGTCTACAGACTATACTATAGGATCCATCGGCTATAGATGGATTTATTGGTTAGGTAATCCACTGACTGGGAAATTACCTGAGGGACGTCTTCCTGCAGACAGAAAACTGCTGGTTTTAGCAGCCAAATGCTGCACAGGGAGGCATTTGACTGGAAATCTCTGTGGGAGTGGGGAGTACAAATATGGCGGATGGTGGCTTCACTTTTTTCGAGAAATCAGCAATCTAGTGAATAATTAGAGATCAGTGGCATGTGTATTGTCCATGGGTATGCTGGTCTGCCTACAGAAGCACAGAAGATAAGGATAACACGCTCATTAAAGAATAGAAAAAATACAGCGGAGTGCATTGTTTTGGACTATAAGTGAGCCTCAAAGCCAAAGTCACACACCTTTGATCTAAAAGAAAAAAACGTTATCTTACCACAGCTAAAGATTAAATCTGACTGTCATTTCTAAATAATTGTTGAAGTTTTATTTTTAGGTAAAATAGGAAATTGGTCCAAGGGCCAAATAAGTAACAGTCTCCTCTGTTAGTGAATATCATTATAAGATATTGATTTAGATTTAAATGGCAACTCAAACTAGCGATGGTGGCTGCGTTCTAATTCATGGGCTCCGTCCTCCAAGGACGCGGTCTACCTAGAATAGATCCTTCAAAGTTCTTGAAAATAAGGAAATCGGAAGAGTTTTGGCTGTGAACTCAAACATGTCTACCCTTCTGCGGCTTTCAAGGATTTCACCGATACGCTCTGTCGCTTAGTAACCGTGACAGATGACACACAAAGCAGGAAAAGAATGAAAACTGAACTTTTCAAAACTGTTTCTTAATATTTGTTCTTTTTTTATTGTAAAGTGAACAAAGACTACACTGAAGAGGATCCAGAGTGGAATAAAGGTGCCAACCACCAGGAGCAGGAACTAATAAAAGCAGTCAGTTAAATAACATGCTGTTGTCATTTTGAACATCTCTGATGTTGCTGTTGATGCTATTTGTTGATGTTGCTGCTATTTTCAAATATCCATTACTGTAAAAATGTCCAATTGGTTAATTATTCTCCAGCTGAACAGTTTGATATTGTTAAAACACTTTACAGTACATGATTTTATTGTTTATATTTTAACTCTACACTATTGTTATTCTTAGACATTTTTCTAAGGTCCACATTTGTGTGACAGTTTTCAATATTCCCCATTGTGGGACAATAAAGAGATTTTCTATTCTATTCTATTCTATTCTATTCTATTCTATTCTATTCTATTCTATTCTACAAAAGGAGTAGAAAGATATAAATAAATCAAAACAATGTATGTGTAAAAATATATCTGCAAAATCTCTTATATTCAACCACAAGAAATAGTTAGTTAAGCAAATTCTGCAAAATATATAAAAAAAATTTTGTAATGTTACAACTTAATTCTCAAAATAAAAAATAAAAATCTCTAACCTGTGGGATTTCTCTGCAGTTTAACAAGTTTTTGTTTTCGAACAAAAACTACAACTCCCATGATTCCATTGGCGCGCATGCGCAGTCGGTCTGGGCCATTATTTTGTCCTGAAGCGTAAAATGAACAACAGGCTAAGCGTTCCTTGAAATGAATTAAATATTAATTCACGGAAATATTTTTTTTTCTCCGTCTTTCCTCCAGAGACCCTCTGATGGAGCGGGTCGCTCAGTAGCGGGCCAGCTCGGTCCTCCGTTGGACTCGAAGGCCGAAAACGCTGCGCGGGGTGACAGCCCCGTTACAGGCAGGCGGGCAGCGGTTAGGGTGTTTATCGGCTCGGCTAGCCGCTCTGCTAGCTTCCTACACAGCGGGAAGGGGAGAGGAGGGCAGCTAAGTCTGGAGTGACGGAGCGGAGACTGGCTCTGTCCAGCCGGCAGAAGCGATGGCTCACCTTGGAGACCTGCAGAACCAGGTACCGAACCCCTGACAGCCACTTAGCCCGGGTTAATGCCTGGCTGCTGGGGGTGGGGGGGGGCTTTAAACTAATGTTTACTACATTCATCATTTACCTTTATAGATTTAACTAAAAACATTACAATATAGATTTATTAATGTGCTGTTTTATATTTAATAGTCCTCTTTGTTATTAAAAATACATCACATGGACAATAATATAATGATAACTAATATTAGGGTTGAAACAGTCAGATTAATTGATTAGTGAAATAATCAACTAGTTTAGTAATAAATTAATCGTTTACTGAAGTATAGAGACTGTAAAACCTGCCTTTAGCTGACAGAGCGAACCACTAAGAGCAGGATTTATACCAAGATTGTGAAAAAGAAATAAATATTTAAGCATTTAAGATGAAAATTATCTTTTCATCTGTCAATCTGCTCTATCCAGAACTCCTGAAGTTGAAAAGTTTTAGTTTTTCACCTGGTTTAATTTGGGAAAAAGTCTTCTTTCAGGAACCTTTGGCTATGTGATTATTAATCGATTAATCAAAAAATAACCAACAAATCAATTTGCAGACTAATTTTTAGTTACGGCTGTAACTAATACTGTTATATATTTAAATGGATGCATATAAAACAGGAAATTAGAAAACCCTTTCATTATCTGTAGAACAACATAGTAATATCTGGAGTTTAATGTGATGGTAATAGTTTTTTTGCTTTTTATGTTAATCGGAGAACAAACTCAAACACACATATAGATTAAAACATGAGCAGTTTTCTAATGATGGAGGAGATTCTCAGACCTGACTGTCTCAAGCAGAACACCAAACTGGACCCTGAGGAGTACTTCACCAAGCAGGAGCGAATAGGAAAGGGTTCATTTGGAGAGGTTTACAAGGGCATCAACAACCGCACCAAGGAGGTGGTGGCCATTAAAATCATCGACCTGGAGGAAGCTGAGGATGAGATCGAAGACATTCAGCAGGAGATCACAGTCCTGAGCCAATGTGACAGTCCGTTTGTTACCAAGTATTATGGATCATACCTGAAGGTGAGAAAGTTAAAAAGAAAACAACAATGATGGGTGATCTACATAAAAGTACGACAGAGTATTAGGGCATGGTATTTTTTTTATTTTGAGAATAAAGTTGTAACTTTACGAGAATAAAGTCGTAAAATCACGAGAATAAAGTCATCAAACAACAACCCGTTTGAGAAAGAAAGCTTGGAGCTCCGCCCAGCAGATGATGGCCGACCAGCTCCACCAATCAGCAACCAGAGTCCACTTTGACATCCTGGCCAGTTTGATGCTGCTGCTAAAAGATTTCCTGATTTGTCAAACCGATGCTAAAGTAGAACTTCCCATGATGCTCCACATTCCTCATTTTAGGGAAGAAAGAGCTTCTTGTAGGAGTTGTCATAAAATACAACTTGTTTCTCATAATTTTAGGACTTTATTCTCTTAATATTACAACTTTATACACGTAATTTTATGACTATTCTTGTTGTGACTTTTTTCTCGTAATATTACGACAATTGTTGCAATTTTACGACTTTATTCTCATAATTTTACGACTTTATTCTCGTCATTTTATGACTTTATTCTCATAATTTTGACTATTGTCATTGCAACTTTATTCTCGTAATTTTATGACTATTCTCTTTGCAACTTTATTCTCGTAATATTACGATTTTATTCTTGTAGTTTTACGACTTAATTCTTGTAGTTTTACAACCTTATTCTCGTAATGTTACGACTTTATGCTGTAGTTTTACGACCTTATTCCCGTCATTTTTTTACTTTATTTTCGTAATTTTGACTATTGTCGTTGCAGCTTTATTCTTGTAATTTTATGACTATTCTCCTTGCGACGTTATTCTCGTAATGTTACAACTTTATTCTTGTAATTTTACGACCTCATTCCGTAATGTTACGACTTAATTCTCTAGTCCAGCAGAAATACTTCCCATAATCAGGACTGAAGTATTGTTGGAACAAAGACAGAAAGTTAGATGCATTCCACCTCAAAATAGAGGAAATAGCGAAAATTCAACATTTTTCAGGGAAGGATATATTCGTAGCTAAATGCGTTTTCCTGAATCTTTTTTCCCAGCGTTTTATTGTCATTCCACTTTCACAAGTACAGAGCAACGAAATGAACTCTCTGCATTTAACCCCTCCCCCTGGGGAGCAGTGGGCTGCCATTGTGCGGCGCCCGGGTAGCAGGGTGGGGTTAAGAGTATTTACTCAGGACCCAGAGTGGCAGTCTGTGGGAGTCGAACTCAGAACCTCAGGATTCCAGCTCTATGCCGTAACCAGTAGGCCGCCGCTCCCTAAAGCAGGCGTTAGCGTGAAGCGTCTCTCCTAAGGACCCACACTGGCAGCTCATTCACCGCCAGCTGGGATACGGTTGTCTTACCTCTGGAGCCACTATCTACATCACCATAAATCATCACTATATAAATATTTATATTAGACAGTTGTGTGTTTGGTTGTTGGTGAAAGTGACCCTCCGGTTCACCGTTTGTCTCCCCAGGGGACCAAGCTGTGGATCATCATGGAGTATTTAGGTGGAGGATCTGCTCTGGATCTGGTAACCAGCTCTCTACCGTTTATGTTGCACTGCAGCCACACCAAAAAAAAAAAAAAACAATGAATCCAAACCTTTTTTGTCTTTGCCGCTTCAGCTCCGCCCAGGACCTCTGGAAGAAACCTACATCGCCACCATACTGCGGGAAATTCTGAAAGGCCTGGAGTATCTGCACTCTGAGAGGAAGATCCACAGAGACATTAAAGGTAAACGCCTCTTTCAGGCGGTGATGTGTGACGACAGCGTGGCGCCCGCTGAGCTTCAGCTACATGCTAGCCTCACACCCAGACATGCAGTTACGCTGCTCTGGGTTTTGTTTTGTTTTTTCTCGGTGTGTGGAGCTGTGAGGTCACAGGATTCTGCAGCTGCTAAACAAATCCTCATCTTTAATATTTATTTCCTGCTTTTTGTTTGAGTATTTCTGTCTATACTTTTTTTTTGTAAATGGTTTCTTTCCTTTCTCATGGTGGTAAAAATCCCTCAGTATGAAAAACTAAAGATTTTATTACATTTTTATATTTATTTTGTATTTTGAGGAGAATAAAGATTGAGCTTTATTTAAAAGTTGAGACTAGATTAGTAGATTAGTCCTGCAGCTTTTCTCTGTAGCAAAAGAGAAAGAAGTGGATTATTTGGGTTCATCTAAACCTCATTAGTGGATTATGAAACGAGATCTGAGCGCTGGTGAAGATTCTTAGTCATCCAGGTCGTAGTCATTTCAAAAAATCAATCCACTGGACTTTGTTTCCAAGTTTGAAGACGTTTCTCTTCCATCCAGGAAGATTTTTCAATTCAAAATGTCAGAAATAGCGTTTAGTTCCAGGTTTTATCCAGCAGCCCAACAAAGCCTGGTTTTAGTTAGCCCTGGCTGCCGCAGACAGGCTAACGTTAGCCCATCTGCTGTTAGCCTCAGAGCTCCGCTGGTCGCCACGCTCCTTTCAACTTCGGAAATATTTTTTAAAATTACGCACTAAATCAATAAATGGTCCATATAGGGATGCACGATATTGGGATTTTGGCCGATATCCGATATGCCGATATTTTAAAACTCATGTAGCCGATAACCGATATCGATACCGATGTTAAAGCTGGACAAAAATAAGTAGTCATTGAAAATAGCAGTTTTGTTATCCATTTCTGACACTTTGAAAAATAATAAACTGAAATATATTTTCATATGCTGATATCAAATAGATTTTAAAAAACGCGGTATCGATCTATTTTACTTTCAAAATCTGGTGAAATTTCATCGTTCTGTTACAAACTCTCGTGATATTTTGCAAATTCTTGTGAGATTTTGTTAGTAAAATAGATCGATATCGCGTCAATATATCAACATATAAAAATAGGGCAACATTTGGTGAATTTTCGGGGGATTTCGTAGCATAACGATGACATATAGCAATATTTCATTAGTAAAAGAGATTGATATGGTGTTTTTAAATGGCAATATATCAAGAAGAAGTAGTATTTAATTTTTTTTAGACTTTAGAAACTCAGAAGCTGATCAAATATCGGGTTAAATATCGGTGGGGTGGCCGATGTCCGATATTCAGTTTTAAGGCCGATACCGATAGGGGGCCCATTATATCCTGCATCCCTAGGTCCATATAGTAAAGCTTAAAGTATAATTTTCTCGCCTCATATGATCTTAAAACTTACTTTTATTGAACAACAGCAACAGAAAAGAGAAGTTTTAACTTAATACTCTGAGCTCTGAGAGCGCTAACCTGTTAGCTGCTGCTGCCGCAGTGCATGCTGGGACAGCTGTCAGTCTGGAGGACGGACAAGTCCGCTCTGATGCATGCTGGGTAAAGAGGGAGGGCTGAGAACATCAGGGGACTTTGTCTGTTGTTGATCTGCTGTTCTAGTGAATTGGAACAGCACTAGGGCTGAGGATGATGACGTTTCACGAGAACACATTGAGAAACGACCACAGCAGTTTAATCAGATCTTTCAGTCAGATTGGTATTATTGGCGCCGTTATGGGAAAAGTAAGCGGTTAGATTAGCTGCTGCTCCTCTGCGCCTGAAAACCAACATCTGAACACGGTTCTGTCTGACTGACGCCTCGTTTCTTCTCCTCAGCCGCCAACGTGCTCCTGTCAGAGCAGGGCGACGTGAAGCTGGCAGACTTCGGAGTTGCTGGACAGCTGACGGACACCCAGATCAAGAGGAACACATTTGTTGGCACGCCTTTCTGGATGGCTCCTGAGGTCATCAAACAGTCTGCGTACGACTTCAAGGTAGAAACACAGACGGGTGATATTAATGCTGCACATGAAGGAGATTTTATGCTATAAATTCATTGACAGATGAATTCAAAATTCATCTGTCAATGAGTAGTAGTAGTCTTTTAACCAGGTTTCGTACGGGTGCTGGAAATCCTTGAAAATGCTTGAATTTTGACGTTGTGTTTTCAAGGTTTGAAAAGTGCTTATATTTTGGATGAATTGCTTGAAATTGTAACTATTTCTTTAGCAACAAATCCCTATCTAACTGAATCGTGTGTTTATTAAATGGAGAAATAAAATGTTGGAGAGCCCGAAAATGAAACCTGCTCGCTTATGTGTGACTGCGATCTGCCAGTCTATTTCCATGCGTGACTCCGCCCCCATGAAACCACTACTTTGTTTACGCTAGCAACTGCTAGCTAGGAATTCACAGGCTAAGTTACTGAGTGACTGAGAGTACGGTGTGATAATGTAATGTTAGTATTGCAGTGTTTCCCCCAAAAAAACAGAAGTTTTAATTCATTGCCAGGCCCAGACCTTAAAGGAATAGTACACCCAAAACATGATTAGCCTTCATTTTCTACTCACCCCCCATGCTGAACAACACTCTGGAGTACTTTTTTGATATCTCAAATGCATCTGGAGATCTGGGAGGCTTCTTGCTGTCTGCTGACATTCAAATAATGGAGGTCTATGGCGCCCGAGGCAGAAAGGTCCATAAAAGTCCACAAAAAACGTGTCAATATTCCTCCATACTGCTCGTCCAATGTATTCCAAGTGTCCTGAGTGGGTAGCATCCAGAATTTACTCGAAACGAAGTCATTTAGAATGTTTTTAGAGCATAAACAGTAGTGTATAGGATTTCCTGAAAGCGTGCGCCGGCGCGTTCATGACGCTACGGAAACCGCGGCAGACCAAACCAGATGAAAGTGCGCATTCAGCTCGGCAAAGAACTCATGCTCTTCCTCAACACTGAAGTCCTCAGACATTTTTCTTTCGTTGTTTCTTTCTTTGCACAGGTAAACAGCACATTTCTTCTTCTACGCTTGCATTATCGGCAGAGCAGAAGCTGAATGCGCACTTTCATCTGGTTTGGTCTGCCGCGGTTTCCGTAGACTCGTGAACGCGCTTTTAGGAAATCCTATACACTACTGTTTATGCTCTAAAAACATTCTAAATGACTTCGTTTCGAGTAAATTCTGGACGCTACCCACTCAGGACACTTGGAATACATTGGACGAGCAGTATGGAGGAATATTGACACGTTTTTTGTGGACTTTTATGGACCTTTCTGCCTCGGGCGCCATAGACCTCCATTATTTGAATGTCAGCAGACAGCAAGAAGCCTCCCAGATCTCCAGATGCATTTGAGATATCAAAAAAGTACTCCAGAGTGTTGTTCAGCATGGGGGTGAGTAGAAAATGAAGGCTAATCATGTTTTGGGTGTACTATTCCTTTAAAACAGCATTGATAACTCTACGGCTGATAATACTGAATTGCGACACCCTCTGGTTGGTTATATTACTACGCTATGGCAGGCAGTCATCCGCGCAAAACTGATTGCGGCCAACACTAAATAATAATTTTGACTATGTATTGGTATGTAATTTATGGTGGTGTAAGGTGCTGGAAAAAGTTTTTAAATGGATCTTGAAAGTGCTTGAAAAGTGCTTGATTTTGACTTTGGAAAAGGTGTACGAACCCTGTTTAACGCATCTCTGAATGTTTTTTTGTCTGAATTCTAGGCGGATATCTGGTCCCTGGGAATAACCGCCATCGAGCTGGCTAAAGGAGAACCGCCCAACTCAGAACTCCACCCCATGAGGGTCCTGTTCCTCATCCCCAAAAACCCTCCCCCCACGCTGGAAGGCCCCTACAGTAAACCCTTTAAAGAGTTTGTGGAGGCCTGCCTAAATAAAGACCCTCGTTTTGTAAGTAGGATAAAGACGCTAATATTCCCAGAATGTTCAGAGATCAGGCGTCCGGATGGTTGAACGCGTTCCTTCTGTCTGTGTTCCTGTTCTGCGCAGAGACCGACCGCTAAAGAGCTCCTGAAGCATAAGTTTATAACACGTCACACCAAGAAGACAAACTATCTGACGGAGCTGATAGACCGTTACCGCCGCTGGAAGTCTGAGGGACACGGGGAGGAGTCCAGCTCTGACGACTCGGACATGTCAGTTCCCCCTGAACGCTTTCATTCAGCATGTCTTTATTCGTTCTGAATGGCAGCAAATTTAAACCCTTCAAAGATTAAAACAGGCTGCTTCCCTCTCTCCATCTTTGATCTCCGTCCTGCAGGGATGCTGATGGCGACGTTGAGCCGACCCCCATGTGGAACTTCCCCACCGTCAAATCTATAAACCAGTTACAGCAGGGCTACCCGCCACCAGATCCAGAGGTGAGACCCCCGACCAGCCGCAGAGGCATCATGGTCGCCGGCTTTCCTACTGACGCCTCTGTCCTCTGTTCAGTCAGGAGATCCTATGAAACGACAGCCCAAGTCCCAGTGCTTGTCTGCTTTGGTAACGCCCATTTTCAGAGAGGTAAGTTCAACTCATCCTGACAACCAAACGGGTTCAGCTCCCAAATCACCTCGTTAACAACGGGTTCTGCTCCCAAATCACCTCGTTAACAACGGGTTCTGCTCCCAAATCACCTCGTTAACAACGGGTTCTGCTCCCAAATCACCTCGTTAACAACGGGTTCTGCTCCCAAATCACCTCGTTAACAACGGGTTCTGCTCCCAAATCACCTCGTTAACAACGGGTTCTGCTCCCAAATCACCTCGTTAACAACGGGTTCTGCTCCCAAATCACCTCGTTAACAACGGGTTCTGCTCCCAAATCACCTCGTTAGCAACGGGTTCTGCTCCCAAATCAACTCGTTAGCAACGGGTTCAGCTCCCAAATCACCTCGTTAGCAACGGGTTCTGCTCCCAAATCACCTCGTTAGCAACGGGTTCTGCTCCCAAATCACCTCGTTAGCAACGGGTTCTGCTCCCAAATCACCTCGTTAGCAACGGGTTCTGCTCCCAAATCACCTCGTTAGCAACGGGTTCTGCTCCCAAATCACCTCGTTAACAACGGGTTCTGCTCCCAAATCACCTCGTTAACAACGGGTTCTGCTCCCAAATCACCTCGTTAACAACGGGTTCTGCTCCCAAATCACCTCGTTAGCAACGGGTTCTGCTCCCAAATCACCTCGTTAGCAACGGGTTCAGCTCCCAAATCACCTCGTTAGCAACGGGTTCTGCTCCCAAATCACCTCGTTAGCAACGGGTTCTGCTCCCAAATCACCTCGTTAGCAACGGGTTCTGCTCCCAAATCACCTCGTTAGCAACGGGTTCTGCTCCCAAATCACCTCGTTAGCAACGGGTTCTGCTCCCAAATCACCTCGTTAGCAACGGGTTCTGCTCCCAAATCACCTCGTTAACAACGGGTTCTGCTCCCAAATCACCTCGTTAGCAACGGGTTCTGCTCCCAAATCACCTCGTTAGCAACGGGTTCTGCTCCCAAATCACCTCGTTAACAACGGGTTCTGCTCCCAAATCACCTCGTTAACAACGGGTTCTGCTCCCAAATCACCTCGTTAGCAACGGGTTCTGCTCCCAAATCACCTCGTTAACAACGGGTTCTTTAAGAACCAGTTTGATAGAACACTATTTCATACAATCTATATAATTAGGGGGTTCCCGCTCCATCTGCCATCAGTTTGGGGTCCTTAGCCTGGAAAACCTTGAAGACCCCTGATTTAAAGAATGTTTTCCCACAGCCTTGGATCATACAGCTGTCTGTGGCTCAGTCTCCATCTCAAATGTTTATAATTAAAAAATGTTCATATGTTAAAAACATAAAGAGATAAAGAAAAGAAAAACGCAGCAATAAACGGCGTGGGATGGTTTCTATGGCGACTGAGGCAGAGAGGTGATTCTCTGAGAGAGAATCACCTCTCAAGGCTAACGTTAGCCCTGGCTGCAGCAGCCGGGGCTAACGTTAGCCTGGCTGCAGCAGCCGGGGCTAACGTTAGCCCGTCTGCAGCAGCCAGTGCTAACGTTAGCCCGTCTGCAGCAGCCAGGGCTAACGTTAGCCCTGGCCGCTGCAGCCAGGCTAACGTTAGCCCGTCTAAAGCAGCCGGGGCTACCGTTAGCCCGTCTAAAGCAGCCAGTGCTAACGTTAGCCCTGGCCGCTGCAGCCAGGCTAACGTTAGTCCGTCTGCAGCAGCCAGTGCTAACGTTAGCCCGTCTAAAGCAGCCAGTGCTAACGTCTGCAGCAGCCGGGGCTAACGTTAGCCTGTCTGCAGCGGCCAGGGCTAACGTTAGCCCGTCTGCAGCGGCCAGGGCTAACGTTAGCCTGTCTGCAGCAGCCGGGGCTAACGTTAGCCCGTCTGCAGCAGCTGGGGCTAACGTTAGCCCGTCTGCAGCGGCCAGTGCTAACGTTAGACCGTCTGCAGCAGCCGGGGCTAACGTTAGCCCGTCTGCAGCAGCCGGGGCTAACGTTAGTCCGTCTGCAGCAGCCACTGCTAACGTTAGACCGTCTGCAGCAGCCGGGGCTAACGTTAGCCTGGCTGCAGCAGCCGGGGCTAACGTTAGCCCGTCTGCAGCAGCCAGTGCTAACGTTAGCCCGTCTGCAGCAGCCAGGGCTAACGTTAGCCCTGGCCGCTGCAGCCAGGCTAACGTTAGCCCGTCTAAAGCAGCCGGGGCTACCGTTAGCCCGTCTAAAGCAGCCAGTGCTAACGTTAGCCCTGGCCGCTGCAGCCAGGCTAACGTTAGTCCGTCTGCAGCAGCCAGTGCTAACGTTAGCCCGTCTAAAGCAGCCAGTGCTAACGTCTGCAGCAGCCGGGGCTAACGTTAGCCTGTCTGCAGCGGCCAGGGCTAACGTTAGCCCGTCTGCAGCGGCCAGGGCTAACGTTAGCCTGTCTGCAGCAGCCGGGGCTAACGTTAGCCCGTCTGCAGCAGCTGGGGCTAACGTTAGCCCGTCTGCAGCGGCCAGTGCTAACGTTAGACCGTCTGCAGCAGCCGGGGCTAACGTTAGCCCGTCTGCAGCAGCCGGGGCTAACGTTAGTCCGTCTGCAGCAGCCACTGCTAACGTTAGACCGTCTGCAGCAGCCGGGGCTAACGTTAGCCTGTCTGCAGCGGCCAGGGCTAACGTTAGCCCGTCTGCAGCGGCCAGGGCTAACGTTAGCCTGTCTGCAGCGGCCGGGGCTAACGTTAGCCCGTCTGCAGCGGCCGGGGCTAACGTTAGCCCGTCTGCAGCGGCCGGGGCTAACGTTAGCCCGTCTGCAGCGGCCGGGGCTAACGTTAGCCCGTCTGCAGCGGCCGGGGCTAACGTTAGCCCGTCTGCAGCAGCTCTCTCTTTGCATAGCCGTGTGTGAAGGACCGCTGGCTCTTATGGAGGTTTTTTTGTTTTATTTGACAAAATATTTATCTCATTTGTGTTTATCTGACTGTGTTCATTATTATTCCTCCACTAAATGAAAAAAGTCATAATTTATTATTATCTTGAGACTATTAATGACAGGAGGTGAAATGCAGCTCCAGACGAGCTTTGAATGTGGTGATGTCATCAGTACGCTTCTGTTCCAATTGACCCAGATTTATTCTGTGTCCCGTTCTCCCTGAGCCCAGACTTTCTTGGGTTCTACTCAAGATCAGACTTGGCGAGGACACGAGTCCGTACTGGTGTTCTAGTGAATTGAGAAATGGCGAGTGGTTTAGGATAAGCTAGACGCCATGACCTATGAGTGACTTAAACTATGGCATACGCAGCCATACATGCTCTAAATTTTCTGACATGCTCGCCATATGTCGACATGCTCCGTTGTACTTCAGCGTGCTCATAACTTATATAAAACGTACCCATAACTTATCCAACATGTTTCAGCGTTTGTTCGTATGTCAGGCATACGCTGGTCTAAATCATTCAGGTGCAACGGGAGCTTTAGGTACGATTTCCTGTCAGATCTGATGCAGAATCGGTGTTTTCTGGCCTTCAATGTTTTTAGTTTGAACAGTTTTGAACTGTTTGGAGCTCAGCAGCTAAAGTTCCTGTTCTTCTCCAAACAGCTAAAGGACAAGCGGCGGGCCAGTGGAGGAGGAGTAGGAGCTATAGAGGAGCTGGAGAATGCCTTCAGCCTGGCAGAGGAGTCCTTTCCAGGCATCTCTGACCGACTCGTCACACACATGATGGAGAGAGTGTGCAGGTGAAGCATCGGCTGCTATGATTGGACGGGGGGTGAAGCTGACGGCCAGCTCTAATCCCGCCTTCTTCTTTCAGGTTTACTTTAAACGGTAACACGACTCCGTCGTCACGGTGAAACCTCCTCTGGATGTAATGTGAGCCAGACTCGGATCAGGACCTCCCACCTGTCGTACCACTGCCGCCTCCCTGTCTACACCCCCCCCAAAAAAAGAGATCTTTTAATTAGTTACAATTAAATATTTTTACAGTTTTTCTTTAAGAACGGAGAGTATTTAACACTAAAGAAGCCATGCCATGTAGAGTGTTGTGTATGCCTGTTAGTGAGAAGAGATCTGCTATAATAAAGTCTATTGAAAACGACTCGTCTTTAACGTGTCGCACTTTGAAACCACTTCCTGTCACCGTGCTCGCTTTCACTCACTTCCACAGAAGGAAATCTGCACTCCTCCATTTTCTCTCTTTTTACATGAAACTCCGGCTTCCGGGCGACTGCCAATGAGCTTCATTGGCTTCCTGTTAAATCTAGAATAGAATTTAAAATCCTCCTTCTCACATATAAAGCCTTAAATGGCCAAGCTCCATCTGATATCAGAGATCTGATTGTTCCTTATGTTCTTAACAGAGCACTTCGCTCTCAATCTGCAGGTTTACTAGTGGTTCCTAGAATTTCTAAAAGTAGAATGGGAGGCAGATCTTTTAGTTATCAGGCTCCTCTCCTGTGGAACCAACTTCCTGAGCTATCTCTATAGTTCTGCTGCTATAGGCTTAGACTGCTGGAGGACATAGGGACCCCTTTTTCATCATTCTGCTTCATTCTATCTCTATTCTCCCACTCTGCAGAATCTGTTAGTTCAATCTCTAACGTTCTGCTCTCTCTGCTTTTTCTCATAGTAGCTTCATCTGGTCTGTTCCTGTTTGGCTGTGACTCCATCCTGGAGAGAAATATCAGCTGTGCTGCTGCCATCAACACCTTTGTTTCTAGATGTTGGAGCTTGGCCTGTTTTCCAGTGTAGTCCTGTTTCTCTGACTGTGACTAACTGGATGTGCTCTCTTCATCCTCTGACATGGGAGCTGGCTCGGAGCTCGTCTGCCTGGCTGTGTGTTTCCTGGACGGGGAGCTGGTGCTGTGGAGCTGGTTGACAGTTGCCTTTTGTATCTATGTTCCTTTTCTATGTCTGCTTCTGTCTCCTTGAACCCCAGTGGGCCTCAGCAGATGGCCGCTCACACTGAGCCTGGTTCTGCTGGAGGCTGCAGGTGATGATGTTGCTCTCCAATAAAACTGATCGGTTTAAATATGTTTCTTTCATATTTCAGAGAAAAAGCACTCCGATTAAAAATGAGATTGTTTAAAAGTTTAATAAACATTTTGTATACAATATAAGCATTCAGAACAATATTTGGTACTTCAGATGTTGGGTAGAAACAGCACAAAGAGGAATGTCAAGAATTCACATTTTTGGCTGGCTTAGGGAAAAGGTTAGCTACACAGACGTCATCGGGTCGTCGTCGGCGACTGCAGAAACGTCAAGTTCTCACGAGTCGGGATGAGTTCCCGAGTCACAGCATCAATCGATCGATTGCAGAACTCCCAAACGGATGGTGCTTTAAAGCACCAAGCGGCGTCATGCCTCGATGCTCCGTCAGTCAGAAGCACAGGAAGACCGTTAGCTTAGCCACAGTGAAAGGCAGTTCTATGGAGGCGATTTAGCTCCTTTATCGTTTAAAACGAAATGTTGTCAAACAGAAATTAGTTTCCACCAAATTCCACTTTCAGATCAAGTTTTACAATCTGGCATTACGAAAATAATTCAGAAAACACAGATCAGATCAAATTTTAAATGTAACATTTGTAAAACAAATTAATCTGTAACGTTTAAAATTGAGAAAAATAGGAGAAAACCGTTTAATTTCTAGATTGCATTTCTTTCCCATTTTTTTTAACAATAAAGGAGCGAAGTTGCCTCCATACGGTTTCTATGGCTACGCTGAGCTACAGCAGTTGCGGATAAAGCAGCGCAGCGTCTTGATAAATGGAATAACACTGAGCAGGTCGGGGTCTATTTAATGGCAGGAAGGAAGTTTTAACCGCGTTTAATAGTCGCATCTCCCAATAATTCATTTTCACAAACATCTGAACAGATTCAGCAATAGTTTGGCTTTCTGAACAGAAGAGATAAAAATTAAATCAACGTAACAGAGCGTCCCAGTGATGCCTTCACCATCTTCACTGATGGATTATTGGACTTCATTTATTTTTAAAAAAGGACCTTTATATCTGTAAATACAGTAACATGGAATATAGCTAATATATAAAAAAAAAGTAACGCCTTCAGGTTCTATGTGGTACTAGCACATGGGGGGGGGGGGGGGGGGGGGTTTAGTTGGTCAGGGGTAGTTATGCATCATTTAACCACCTATAAAAAAAAAAGAGAAAAAGAGTGATGAGACTGGAGAGAACATCTGGATCAGAACCAGCTGTGGGTTGGATGCTGACCTTTATCTCCTTAAACATGCTGACCCTCTGCCTCTCCTTCTCGGGGCTTCTGCATCTGGGCCTGCATCTTGGCGATCATCTCCTGCATCCTCCTCAGCTGCACGACAGAGCAAACAGGAAGAGGGTTTATACAGGAAGGAGTAACAGTAACCCGGAAGGAAATCCCACTGATTTCCTGTTACTAGTATAGATAATGGAGAAATATCCCAGTCATCAAATCTGTGGAAATTTTAACTTCCATCCCATCATTACTACTCAGCCGATTGCTGTTGAGTATCAGGGTCACATGTAGGGCTGCAACAACGAATCGATAAAATCGATAAAAATCGACTTTTAAAAGCGTTGGCAACGAATTTAATCATCGATTAGTTGTGTCGCGTGATTAATGCGTCATCCGCCGCCGCCGTCATCACATCCACTTGACTGAAACGGGGGAAGAAGAAAAAATTACGGCAGAGCGAGTCAGCGCTGCAGGTGCAGTGTTGCCAACTCAGCGACTTTTCATTCCCCTCCAGCGACTATTTTTCAAAAAAGCGACTAGCGACAAATCTGCCGACTTTTTACGGTGTCACTGGCGGCTTTTGGAGACTCTTACGTGAAAGCATGTATCGTTCCTACTCTGCCGTGGGGCGCCTCCCCCATCCCAACCCCGTTCTCCCGCAGGAGTTCCTCTCAGCGCTGCAGTCAGAGCCGCAGGATGTTTACCCTCAGCGTCCAGACTGCAAATGAAGCGCGCATGCGCCGGGATTGATCACAATAATTAAAATAGCCTGCGCTTTGTAAAGTGAAAATAGTCGTAACATGCAACTTTTGTCAAAACAAATTAAATTGGCACGGAAGCACCATGTTTGTTTGGTTTTAAAGTGGGGAAACGTAACGTTAGTTTCTCAGGTAGCTCATCTGATGCTTTCCTTACCGTGTTAGTAGGTTACAGACAGTGATAAGGTTGGCTACTTATTTTACTTTTAATTTCATTTGAATTAGCTTAAGCAGCGTTTATATTTTCTTTATAAATAAATTAACTTGCAAATTATGAGGGCAAGGCTTTTAAAGTTTAAATCTTCTGGCAAAGATAAAGTAAAGAAGATCCTGCATTTTATGGAAGTAAAGCAGAATAAAATCCAGCAAGATCAGTAATATGTCAATTAATTATCTGCCACATTCCCATGTAAATATCCGTCTTTGGAGGATGTGTTTTTTAGCACCCCTAGTTCTCTCATTTTTATTCCAAATACAATTTATAATTAGAATCACAGGGCTATTTTTATCTCTATGGTTCAGTATTTTCTCAAGTAGCAACTTTAACTGCTATACTTTCCTGTCTTAAAAGGCAGAACTCTTCTAGTCTAAAAAAACCTGATTTGTTGAAATGGGGGGGCCTATTGTTTGAACCCCTTAGGGGCTTTAAAAACAAAAATGTCTCTTTTTGCGCTTTATGAAACAAAGTAGCCTATATTTTGTGGATGTACAGCTACATTTCTCATGTAAGTTTGCATAGTTTTAACACAAACATTTATTTTTCATATTGCACCAGGACAGTTAATGAGAAACCTGTACTTGTGTGCTTGTTTGTTCTGTCTAAAATGTTCATTTTGGAATAAAGAGGTTAATATAAAAAATATTTTTTTTCCCGATTCATCGATTTTTAAAATAATCATTAGTTGCAGCCCTAGTCACATGTATCAGGGTTCCTACAGCATAAGGATAGTTAAATTAATAAATTAAGACCTTTTAATGCCACTTGAAATAAAAAATTAAGACCAAATTCACAAGAAACACAAGAAAAACCTGCTTGCTACAACTTAACCCAAAGGTTTATTTTAACATAAACCACTGCACTAATGTTTCAAATGTTGAAGAGCTTCCCATACAGGAAGAAAGTTAAAAACACACAAATGACAGATATATTTGAACAATTATTTAACTGAATTCACAAACGTTGTTTTAGCAGGGAACAAAACAAATGAGTTTTAAAGCCCCAACATAACCAGTGCTGAGTCTTTTTAGCAGCTATTTTTCTTCGTATGGTTTTCTTAGTATGTTTGATTTGGTGATAAGTGGAGGCGTTGCAGAGACAAGGGTGGAACTAAACTGAGAAATACCGGCTGTTTCTCTCTAACTCCATTTTGACGCTTTGTGTTTCGTGCTTCGCATGTGCGACTCCACTGCCTTAATTCCCATCGTTCTGAGCTTGAATGACTTCTAGCACTAAATCCACTGAGCCTCATGTATGTTCCCTGGTTTTAGCCATGGAGAAAACTCTTGGCTGGAGACTATTTTGGTTACATTTACACTTGCTTACGGAAGAGGATTAGGGCCACTGGAAAAAAAAGTTAACTGATTTTTAAATTTAATTTCAGTTTAGTATGGGAAAAAAGTCAGAATTCTGACTTTTTTCCCATACTAAACTGAAATTAAATTTAAAAATCAGTTAACTTTTTTTTTTTTCTCCACTGGCCCTAATCCTCTTCCGTACTTGCTCATATTTTCCAGACAAAAAGTTAATGGTGCATCTCCCAAATGTCCCGGCCGCAACAATGCATTATTGGTTCCGCTATCGGGACGGAACCAATAATGGCGAGCCGTTTTTCTTTTTTATATATAAAAAAAAAAACAAATTGTCAATTTTAACGTTTTTAGATTACAAAAATGAATCGTAATAAACATAATTCTATTTATGATGTCTTAAAAAATAAGACCTACAAAAACTGATTCAAGACATTTTAATACCAATTAAGGCCTTAGTTTTATTTTGAAGAATTCAATGCCTTTTAAGACTGGGAACCCTGTGTACCCCGCCGCCTATCAGCTAGGTAGGTTAGCTGGAGTGGGGAAGTATGAAATATTAGGACACGTTGGGAGGAGCAGAGCTGCAGGAGTTCACTACTTAGCTGAGATGAAACGGAAAAAAAACCTGTTAGTGTGAGATAAAAACTATGGAATTGGCGTTTGTCTTGTGTGGTTTAGCGTTAGCTCATTGAAGTCACTGTTTGTTGTTTAGCTGCTAAATTACTGACTATACAGACAGACGTCCATGCTAGCTTTGAACAACCCATGTGTGGCATCTTAAATATTTAGTGAGCACTTCTTTATATTAGGTTTTCTTTACATTTCATGTTAAAGGGGTCATAGAATGATTCTATAGGGTATCTGGTCCTTCAGGTCTCTAATAGGGTGATAGAATGATTCTATAGGGTATCTGGTCCTTCAGGTCTCTAATAGGGTGATAGAATGATTCTATAGGGTATCTGGTCCTTCAGGTCTCTAATAGGGTGATAGAATGATTCTATAGGGTATCTGGTCCTTCAGGTCTCTAATAGGGTGATAGAATGGTTCTATAGGGTATCTGGTCCTTCAGGTCTCTAATAGGGTCATAGAATGATTCTATAGGGTATCTGGTCCTTCAGGTCTCTAATAGGGTGATAGAATGATTCTATAGGGTATCTGGTCCTTCAGGTCTCTAATAGGGTGATAGAATGATTCTATAGGGTATCTGGTCCTTCAGGTCTCTAATAGGGTGATAGAATGATTCTATAGGGTATCTGGTCCTTCAGGTCTCTAATAGGGTGATAGAATGATTCTATAGGGTATCTGGTCCTTCAGGTCTCTAATAGGGTCATAGAATGATTCTATAGGGTATCTGGTCCTTCAGGTCTCTAATAGGGTGATAGAATGATTCTATAGGGTATCTGGTCCTTCAGGTCTCTAATAGGGTGATAGAATGATTCTATAGGGTATCTGGTCCTTCAGGTCTCTAATAGGGTGATAGAATGATTCTATAGGGTATCTGGTCCTTCAGGTCTCTAATAGGGTGATAGAATGATTCTATAGGGTATCTGGTCCTTCAGGTCTCTAATAGGGTGATAGAATGATTCTATAGGGTATCAGGTCCTTCAGGTCTCTAATAGGGTGTGTAACATTGGTTGGGCTGAAAATGGCATATTAGCTGTTCTATGAGCTCTAATGCAGCCTGGTTAGAAGCCCTAGAATGAAACCACAGGTTTCTTCCTTTTATGGTATGATCATGAATATTTAGATGAGCTGTGCTCTGATTGGTTGGTTTACAACGAGCCAAGCTGCTGAGCAAAGACGCATCATAGCAACAAGCACTCAGTCACTGAAACATCAGATTGTTGATATGGTAGGGGGACCAGACGTCCTCTTTTTCCTGGACATTTCAAAATCGTCTGGGATTTAGGTCGACTACAGTTCAGCAGAACCGAGCCATGAGCTCCAGGGCTGGTCAGGGAACCCCAGCGGACGGGGGCAGGGAGCCAGCGGGGGACGGAGCGACCAAACCCAATCCGATGGCGGTAGCCTGAACCCCGGCGGCCCCGTGCCCCGTATGTATACACACACACATAAATATATATATATGTCATATTGTAATGCCTGCGGTTTCTAACCTCAGCCTCCTTCTCCTGCAGAATCACGTCCTTGTCCATTTCCTCCGGCTCCGGTCCCTTCCTGCACAGTCACACAGTTTCAGTCATTTTTCACGTCGCCAACATTTATTTGCCATCGTGAAGCTAAAAGCAGTCAGGGAGGTTAATGCGGCGCCATTTGCTTTGAGCAGAGGTGGATAAAACAGTCAGCATTAATTAGGGAAACGATCAAAGCCACACTGAGAAAGAGTGAAATGGTTAGTGGGTTAGCTTCTAGATTAGCTCTGGATGGAGACGATTGCCTCTACTGCTAATATCTAGAGAGGCGAAAGCAGGAAGATTGAGAGGCGGAGGTATGGGGTAAAATAGCTGTCGATAAAAACCGATGTGCAGCTGTCTGAGGTCCATCAATGTGAAGAAACTGAAGGTTGTTTATTGGTTCTTTGCTGTCGGTTTATCCACACACAACATCAGATGTTTGAGTTGATAGAAAACAAGATTAGAAGTTACAATTCTGCAGGAATACAAACTACAAATTAACAAGTTCAATTCATTAATTTATTAGGCTGAAAGAAATTGGTAACGCTTTATTTTACAGTACATCAATAACCATGTAATAACATAGTAAGTCACACTATATTACTTGCTAACAAGAAACACTTTATGTGATAATTACCCCAAAATCGAGGCATAATATATAATTTGAAAGTATTTACCTGAATGTAATAATTAGAATTGTATGTTATGATGTAACCGTGGAGACGTTTGGTGGGTAATTACCATTATGTTCCCCATAACAGTTTCTATTATTGGCCACCACCTACCAATGGAGTAAACTGTAACTGACGATCAGGTTAATTAAACATTATATAACTGAACTAGAGTTACAGATAAATAAGAGTTTAGTTAAAAAGATTGGCTGCTGTCTTCTAGGTTTGGTTTTCTGTTAGATGCCAAGTGATAAACTAGTGGGCAGTTATGGATCTTAATGTAGATGGGCTCCATGGAGGCAGAGATGTGGAGCACTCAGCTTCAGTTGTTTGGGAGAAACAGGAACACATTGATGGAAAATGATGGAATTGGGAGACTTTTTCTGTCCCTGAGGGTCCCTGCTGATGCTGTTTGATTAATGGAATAGCAGAAGGTGATGAAAACAAGAGAGATGGTCTCTAAAACAGACATGGCTACGGCTGGATGCTAACATGTTTGTTAGCTGTCAGAATTCAGAGAAAAAAGTCAGAATTCCAACTTTTATCTCATATTATACTAAAATATTTTAAAAATCAGTTAACTTTTTTTTATTTTTTCAGTGCCCCTAAGTCCAACTTTACCTTGTTTCTCTAAAATTTGAAGCACTTTGGCACCAAAATTCTCCACAAAGTGTTTCTGGTTACCAAGTAATATAGTGTAACTTGTTATGTTCTTAGCAGGTTATTACCAGGTTATTACATGGTTATTATCAGGTTTAGGGCTGCAACTAACGATTATTTTGAAAATCGATGAATCGGCCGATTATTTTTTCGATTAATCGATGAATCGGACACAAAATATTTTTTTTATATTAACCTCTTTATTCCAAAATAAACATTTTAGACAGAACAAACAAGCACACAAGTACAGGTTTCTCATTAACTGTACAGGTGCAATATGAAAAATAAATGTTTGTTTTAAAACTACGCAAACTTACATGAGAAATGTAGCTGTACATCCACAAAATATAGGGTACTTTGTTTCATAAAGCGCAAAAAAAGACATTTTTGTTTTAAAAGCCCCTAAGGGGTTCAAACAATAGGCCCCCCCATTTCAACAAATTAGGTTTTTTTAGACTAGAAGAGTTCTGCCTTTTAAGACAGGAAAGTATAGCAGTTAAAGTTGCTACTAGAGAAAATACTGAACCATAGAGATAAAAATAGCCCTGTGATTCAAATTATAAATTGTATTTGGAATAAAAATGAGAGAACTAGGGGTGCTAAAAAACACATCCTCCAAAGACAGATATTTACATGGGAATGTGGCAGATAATTAATTGACATATTACTGATCTTGCTGGATTTTATTCTGCTTTACTTCCATAAATTGCAGGATCTTCTTTACTTTATCTTTGCCAGAAGATTTAAACTTTAAAAGCCTTGCCCTCATAATTTGCAATTTAATTTATTTATAAAGAAAATATAAACGCTGCTTAAGCTAATTCAAATGAAATTAAAAGTAAAATAAGTAGCCAACCTTATCACTGTCTGTAACCTACTAACACGGTAAGGAAAGCATCAGATGAGCTACCTGAGAAACTAACGTTACGTTTCCCCACTTTAAAACCAAACAAACATGGTTACTCATCCTGCTGATCTGCTCTCTTCACTGCCATCAAAGGCTCCAACGTGTTTTCTTTTCAGGTGCTGCGTCATAACAGTGGTGCTTCCGTGCCATGTTCATTTGTTTTTACAAAAGTCGCATGTTACGACTTTTTTCACTTTACAAAGCGCAGGCTGTTTTAATTATTGTGATCAATTTGCGCCGTCAATCCCGGGGCATGCGCGCTTCATTTGCAGTCTGGACGCTGAGGGTAAACTCCTCACTAAAATCCTGCGGCTCGGACTGCAGCGCTGAGAGGGATTCCTGTGGGAGAGGGAGAAAGGCGTTGGGATAGGGGAGGCGCCCCACGGCAGCAGCTGCCGCTGGAGGACAAGAGTAGGAACGATACATGCTTTCACGTAAGAGTCTCCAAAAGCCGCCAGTGACACCGTAAAAAGTCGCCAGATTTGTCGCTAGTCGCTTTTTTTTTTAAATAGTCGCTGGAGGGGTCTGAAAAGTCGCTGAGTTGGCAACACTGCAACTGCGGCGCTGACTCGCTCCGCCATATTTCTTTTGCTTCCCCGGGATGACGGCGGCGGCGGATGACGCATTAATCGCGCGACACAACTAATCGATGATTAAATTCGTTGCCAACGCTTTTAAAAGTCGATTTTTATCGATTTTATCGATTCGTTGTTGCAGCCCTAATCAGGTTATTACTTGGTTATTGATGTACTGTAAAATAAAGCGTAACCAATTTCTTTCAGCCCAATAAATGAGTGAATCAAACTTGTAAATTTGTAGTTTGTATTCCAGCAGAATTGTAACTTCTAATCTTGTTTTCTATCAACTCAAACATCTGATGTGACGTGTGTGGATAAGCCGACCAAAGAAAGTTTTACAAAAAAATTTATCTGTTTAATATGATTAATCGATTTTTAAAATAATCAACTAATTTAGTCATTAATTCATTGTTAATTGGACTCCAAGTGGGTCGATCTGTCAGCTAAAGACGTGTTTTAGAGCAGGAATTCTACTAAGATTATAAAAAATATATAAATATTTAAGCATTTAAGAGAATAAAAATCTTTTTTATCTGCCAAGCTGCTCTATCCAGAACTCCTCGAGTGGAAAACTGTAAAGTGCCTTAAGATGACGTGTTCTGAATTGGCGCTATAGAAATAAACTGAAAAGTTTTAGTTAAACCTGGTTTCATTTAGTAAAATATCTTCTATCTGATTACGAATCGCATTAATGGAAAAAAATAATCGACACATTAACCGATTAGTAAAATAATCATTAGTTGCACCCCTACTAATTTACTAAATCCAATCAGCATTTATGAGAAAGTCGCAAATTTACAAAAAAGCAGGAAATAAACGTAATGGTTCAACTCAGCCATTTAACCCTAAAATGGAATTAATTCTAAAATTAATTACCAGATTTATGAGAACGAATCTAAAACGCTAATAAATATCTTTACCAGTTGGTGGCAGTAAAGCCGAGGAAACGAGAAGAAGAAGAAAACTCAACGTTAAGCTAATAACTCATTAAAAAACAACATTTCAGCAAAGATACAGCATTCAATCGATGATGTCACTACCCGATCTGTCCCGGAAGCACAATCTGTCCTGCGCAAACAGAACGATAAGATCCGGATCACCGAAAAACTACGTGATAACGCTACCGAAAATAATTATTTACTTAAAACAATAAAGGATGTTAAACGTCATCATCGGACATGCTCAGAGCAGAATCAGAAACGTTCCAAAGGCTAAATAAGTGTTTTATGTTTTGCTTTTTTTCGTTTTTATAATATGCAATATTTACGCAAAAACACAAATATTGAAAAGGAACCGCCCACCTAAAAAAAGAAGAAAGAATAAAACAGTAAGAAAAGGGTAGTACTGCCAGACCGCAAGTTATTCTGCTTGCACAGGACGGATCGGGTAGTGATAGATGCTTCTGCTTTCATTTTATCGTTTAATGCCGGTTGGTGAACAACCTTCAGGTGCATCACCGCCACCAACTGGTCAGGAGTGGAACTGCTTCAGTAGATTTCTACCGTTTTCTAAATGAGGATCAAGGAACTAATCTAGATCTTAGATTCAGTGGCATTTATGGACCTCCATTCAGATGCCGCTCCGCGTTTTACTGGCAGCTTTCTTACCCCATACAGGAGGTGGTGAAAAGTCGGGGGGGGGGGGGGGGGACAGCTTGCCCTCCCTATGGGTGAAAACATTACCTCACCCCAGGACACAGACGGAGACAGCGGCGCCATCTCTGGACGGATGGCGAAGCGCTCCCTGTGGTCGGTTTCAGAGCTCACATTTAAACAACCTGAGTTGATCTGATGTGGAGGTTAAATCATGATGAGGGAGCTACGTTACATGACATCTGCTAATCCCGAAAGATAATCCAGCTAGTCATGCTTTCTCTGAGCTACGTTACATGATCATCGGCTAATCCCGTTTCTAATCCATAAAGATAATCCAGCTAGTCATGCTTTCTCATCAAACAGAAGTATTTAAATAAAGCTGACTCTACAGCTACCATCAGCCATCATGGCCGCTATGACCTTTATCAGTGGGGGGGGGACAGAGCAAGCAAGCAGACAGGTACGTACGCAGGAGACAGAGGCAGAACGTAACCATGTGATGACAACCTGCCGCCCCGTTTGAGGCGATCCGAGCGGAAGTTCTCATAGTGCAGGTCCTGGGTCACTTCCTGTAGGTCCTGCATGTGGGTTCTGTGGGGGGGGGTGAAATGATTTTGTCTTTTGTTGTATTTTTGTTTAGGAAAATGTATTTTATGTTTCCCTCTTGTTTCAAATTGGTCTGATCAACCAGTATATATATGTTTCCCTTGTGTGTCAGGTAGGCAGGTCTTTTCCTGTGTCAGGTTTGGATTATGCTGATTTTTGTCATTTGTTTTCCTTGATGGGCCCAGTCTTGTTTGAACTTTTGAACTTTATTTTTGCAAAATAAATTTGTTACCATTTTTGTCATCAATAACTTCCCTGTGCTTCTCTGATTTTATGGCTCGGTCCCTCACACTCCTCTTCACTGGTCCATTTCCACCATTAGAAACGCATCTTCGATCCGGAGGATTTACCATTTAAAGTTTTATTCATAAATTGATATAAAAGCTTTATTTATTAACCTTCTCATGCAGGAATTATGATAAACTCAGTCAGGATTTTTTTTACATCCACAGGAACGTAAAACAAGGTTTGAAAAAATCTCTCTTTATTCTATGAAGAAATATTTATATGTCCACTCCAGTGCACTTTATGCATTTTATAATCTAAATAAAAAATCAATTTAACAGCAAAGTAGCTGCATAGATATAGTTATAAAGTGGTATTCTGTTGGAACGGAGGTTACTCTGTATTTAGAAACCAAAATAGCCAAGATGTTTGGTCTTTTTCCTCCCCGTCTGTCAGCCATCTTGGTTTCACTTTTTTTTTTTTCATTGCAATGATCAATAAATGGGATTTATCTGTACGGGATGATGCAATAGCTTCCACTAGATTGGACTATATGCATCAGTGCCCAAAACTGAAGGCCTAAATATGTATATATAAAAAAAAAAAAAAACAACACACCTTTAAACAGCTGTAATGTCTTAAATGTGCACTTATTTATTTACGATGTATTATTTTCAGTCGTGTTTGTTCTATTACTACGCTTTCTGGACCCAAAGGGATTTTGTTGTTTTGTTGTTGTTTTTTCCTCTGCATTTTGCACGATCATACATAACCTGGGATGCTGTCAAGGAATGTTTGTATTCTTTCTAATAAAAAAATAAATTTAAAAAATAAAACAGCTGTACACTGTAGTCATCACTATGCATAAAAGGGTTAAAAAAATGTCCAACTTTTATTTCTGCAGTTTCTTCAAAGCTTCAGTTCATTAAAACTTGTTCTATGCAACAATAATGGAGCAAAACTCTACTAAAGAACTTCTATTTACTCAAGTTCTTAGTGAACTGGACTATTTTAATTAGGGATGCAGGATATAATCGGCCCCCTATCGGTATCGGCCTTAAAACTGAATATCTGACATCGGCCCCCCCACCGATATTTAACCCGATATTTGATCAGCTTCTGAGTTTCTAAAGTCTAAAAAAAATATAAAAAATACTACTTCTTCTTCTTCCTCAAAAACTTCTTTTTTACAGACTTAAAAACTTCTAAAGACGAGGGAAAAAATATTGATCCATTAAAATATCCCAATATCTTCATATGCTGATATATTGCCATTTAAAAACACCATATCAATCTCTTTTACTAATGAAATATTGCTATATGTCATCGTTATGCTACGAAATCCCCCGAAAATTCACCAAATGTTGCCATATTTTTATATGTTGATATATTGACGCGGTATCGATCTATTTTACTAACAAAATCTCACAAGAATTTGCAAAATATCACGAGAGTTTGTAACAGAACGATGAAATTTCACCAGATTTTGAAAGTAAAATAGATCGATACCGCGTTTTTAAAAATCTATTTGATATCAGCATATGAAAATATATTTGAGTACATTATTTTTCAAAGTGTCAGAAATGGATAACAAAACTGCTATTTTCAATGACTACTTATTTTTGTCCAGCTTTAACATCGGTATCGATATCGGTTATCGTCTACATGAGTTTTAAAATATCGGCATATCGGATATCGGCCAAAATCCCAATATCGTGCTTCCCTAATTTTAATTCTATTCTTATTTTCATCCTGATGCGTTTTGTGTGACTTTATGAGTGCGATAAAAACGACGTTTGTCTGGACTTACATCAGCATGGTTCTCAGCTTCAGGAAGTCGTTGTGCTCCGGGTTCTCCACTTCCACCACCCCCCACGGGTACAGGCGCCCCCTGACCTTCTTCCCCTTGGCCTCGATCTGCTGGTTGGACCCGACCACGGCGAACGGGATGCTGGCCTGAATGAGAGAAGCAGCACTTCCTGTTGCAGACGCACGGCTTCACGAGCCGCTGAGAAGCAGAGGGAAACCCACCTTGAGGATTCTGGTCTGCTCTTTAAAATCTTCGTCCTCGTCGGACTCGGCGTCGGGAAGGTGGTAGATCTTGATGCCGTGCTCGTCAATCTCATCCAGGATCTTAGAGAGGAAATAAAACTCCATGAGCAGAGAGGCCGAGTCTGCAGGAGGGAAGCTCAACTCCTCCCCCGCCTCACCCTGCGCTTCAGCCTCTCCCTCTCCCTGAGGGTGAGCGTGTCGGCCTTGGCGATGACCGGAACCACGTTCACCTTGTTGTGGATGGCCTTCATGAACTGGACGTCCAAAGGTTTGAGGCTAGTTGGAAAAGGAAAGCAAGCGGTCAGTAAAGATCAGAGAAACGGAGCTTTATCAGGCAGGTTAAGGAGGGGGCGTGTCTCTGCACCCGTGGCCCAGAGGGGAGATGAAGTAGAAGCAGCAGTGGACCCTGTTGTCCACTATGTGTCTGCGGTTGAGGCCACTTTCGTCGTGGAGGTAGCGCTCGAACTGGTCGTCGATGTAGGCAATGATGGTGCTGAAACTGGACCAGGAGAGAAACAAACATGGATTCCAGACGGTTCAAAGTAAAAAAAACAAAATTTAAAAAACATTTAATGGCATCTGTATTCAAAATGGCTTCCAACCAGTCCTGGCTGTTGATGGCGTCTCCGTATCCTGGAGTGTCTACAACCGTGAGACGGAGCTTCACTCCTCTCTCCTCGATCTCCACCGTCGATGCTTCGATCTGAACCGTCCTCTCGATCTTCTCTATCAGAGGGAAAACGCAGGAACTTTAGGGCCCATTCAATTAAAAACAGCTGGGTGTGTGTGTGTTTGGGGGGTGGATGGGTGGAGGTGTGTGCTTCACCTGCGGCCCCCGGGATGACTCTCTCAGGGTAAAGGTCAGTCAGGAAGAGGCTGTTGATCAGGGTGGATTTTCCGAGCCCAGATTCTCCTGCAAACAGAAAAGTTTCATGTTTTAAACTCTAAACACCTGAACACATCGGCATCGTACGACTTTTAAAGCTCTGATCCGATTTTTATTTACAACTTTTTGTGTTTCTTTAAAATTCCCCGCAGGTAAAGATCAATGCTAAGAGTTTGGAGATGCTCTGATAATTCTCTGATTTTTGGAAAGTATTTAAATTTTTGTTTTTTTTAATTCAGCATATTTTTTTAATATGCACATAAAATACCCCTTTTTTATTTTAGTATATTGTGTTTTTTCTTTTCTGTTTGGTTCCTGGGATCTTGTTAAAGGTATAATATTGACACCTAAAGACAAAAAGGATTTTTTGGATTTTAACACTTTCTTTACAAAGTCGGTTAAAAATCACTATTAAGGTAAAAACAAGTGTCAGCCAAAAATCATTAAATAAGGGGCTTGTTAAATTGTAGTTGTCCTTCATCCGACAAAACACATAAAATGTTGTTAAAACCCCACAGCTGAATAAAATCCTCCATGTTCTGTGTGACTCAGTGGAAGAGAAACTCCAGCCTGATTCTGGCTTTAACCTCCTCAGAACCACGGCATCAAGCTGATCCCCCTCCTGCAGTCTGTCTGCTATAGGCTTAGACTGCTGGAGGACATAGGGACCCCTTTTTCATCATTCTGCTTCATTCTATCTCTATTCTCCCACTCTGCAGAATCTGTTAGTTCAATCTCTAACGTTCTGCTCTCTCTGCTTTTTCTCATAGTAGCTTCATCTGGTCTGTTCCTGTTTGGCTGTGACTCCATCCTGGAGAGAAATATCAGCTGTGCTGCTGCCATCAACACCTTTGTTTCTAGATGTTGGAGCTTGGCCTGTTTTCCAGTGTAGTCCTGTTTCTCTGACTGTAACTGGATGTGCTCTCTTCATCCTCTGACATGGGCGCTGGCTCGGAGCTCGTCTGCCTGGCTGTGTGTTTCCTGGACGGGGCCGCCTGTGGAGCTGGTTGACAGTTGCCTTTTGTATCTATGCTTCTTTTTCTATGTCTGCTTCTGTCTCCTTGAACCCCAGTGGGCCTCAGCAGATGGCCGCTCACACTGAGCCTGGTTCTGCTGGGTTTCTTCCTGTTCAAAGGGAGTTTTTCCTCTCCACTGTCGCTACAAGCATGCTTAGTGTGAGGGATTGCTGAAGAGTCAATGAGTCGATGCAATCAGCTGGTTTTCCTTAGAGAGAAAACTTTGAATCAATCTGACTGGATGATCTGGTGAACTGGAAAGTGACCTGAGATGACATGATGGGAATTGGAGCTATAGAAATAAACTGAATAGAATTGGGTGAAGGGCAATCTTTGCTTCGGGCCTTTGGCTTATTTTCCCTATTCTGGCAAATTCCTCCTATAAAAACAGCGTTTGTGCAAATCATCCCAAAAAGACTGAAAATTGTCCATAAAAACGTGGAACACATTTTCAGGACACTCATTTGAAACACAGCGATTATCAACCGATTAAAACCGAGTTTGTGGCCGGTTATAAAGATGTCGTTGGTGTATTGCTTTTGTGCCGCTGTGGTAAAGAGCTTTCTGCTCCATATTGGATCAAATCATTCTCTGTAGGTCTAGTCTGGAGAGCAGAGGTCTGTTTTGCTCAGGGACATAATGAGGCTGAAAATCTTTGAGCTGGTTTAAACTAAATGTTTTAAATCTGAAACCAAAACTTTGGATGAGTCTATCAGTGCAAATGTATGAACTGCATTGTTTTTGAAGGTAGTTTACACATATGGTGGTGTATCGCGATTATATCCCAAATGTTCTCTATAATTCATCTCTGCTATCTGAGAGAAAAGAAAACAAGCTGCGCTGATTCAACAGGGAGACGTTTATTTTGGATTTAGAGTCGGCCTCCTCTGCAGGGCTCACTGTCCTCTCAGTCCCTGGAGGCAAACAGGCCACATTCCTTCTCTGGTTTATGTTATAGCCCCCCCCGCCCACTAAAGTCACACACATCAGGAGTTTCCCCTGCGGTGTTAGAAGCCTGCTGTCGGTTCTGCTCACCTACAACCATGAGAGTGAACTCGAACCCCTTCTTCACCGACTTGCGATGAACCTGATTTGGAAGGTTGGCAAAACCAACGTACCCCGGAGTCTCTGGGTTGGTGAACTGTCCCTGCTGTGAGGAGGAGAAGAAAAGTTAATCACTGCTCAAAGTTAACCAGAAAATAATCCAGCATGGTAACGGTGCTCTGTCAGCTCAGCATACCCTTATTAACACGCATGCAGAAGCACAGCGGTGTCAAAAGTTCACACATTTGTTACTTCAGTAGAAGTATAGATCCTGCAGTTTAAAAACACTCTGGTAAAACTTGAAGTATCAACTTGACCTCTTTACTCAAGTAAAAGTGAAAAAGTATGTGCTCCAAAAACTACTTAAAGTATAAAAGTATAAAGTAACCTTTAAAAAAAAAACAGCCAGATGCTGTATATGAACTGAAAGCTCAATTTTTCGCCTATTTCTAAAGATTCTCCAAGGACGAGGGAGGTCTGGTTGGTCTCCGTCTCCCGATACGCTCTCGCCTGTGTCCGACCTTTCAGACATTTCAACATCTTTTTCTGAATCCCACATTGTAGCATGGCATAGACCAGGCATCCCCAAACTCGGTCCTCGAGGTCCCCTGTCCTGCAGGTTTTAGAGGTTACCTTGCTCCAGCACAGCTGATTTTAATTGGAAGCTGATTAACAGGCTTTTGGTCTACTGCAATAATTATAAGCAGCTGTGCTGAAGCAATGAAACCTCTAAAACCTGCAGGACAGGGGGCCTTGAGGACCGACTTTGGGGATGCCTGGCATAGACAATTCACATTAGCAGTTTGAAGAACACCTGCTTGCTTCTGATGGTTTCCTTTAGCTAACTAATGAGTGTTTGCGTTCTATGACTCATCCAATCACACTAGTTTTCACTAGATGTGGGTGGAGCCAATGATCTGCATTGGATGGAGCACATGACGGGAAATAAAGATTTAGACGGGAAATAAAGATTTAGAAACACAGGGGTCGTCGTTAAGGATTTTTACCACTTGCCCTGAGGGCAAGTGACTTTCACATTTCATTTGCCCAGAAACAATTTTTACTTGCCCGGTATAATGTTTGATAAATATAGTTCATAATATTTATTTTTTTATATATATATATATATCAATGAAACATGTTTGTTTTTTAAATGTTTTTTTGTAATTCAGTATTTTTTAAGTTTCCAGGTTCCTGGTGTGTATCTGCATGCTTCAGATAATGAACTCCAGCCTACATTACCGTGTTAACATGCTTTTCATCCTTCCTGCTCATTCTTTTCAAACTAAACTTTGCTTTAAACTGTTGTGTGCTTGGAAAAATATAAATTGTAATGTTAAAAATCTAAAAGAAACTTGACAGGTTAAAAACTTAAGATAAATCACAAGACAGAAGTCAATGTCACAAATGAATAACTTATTTTAGAGTCACGGTATGTTGATACAAGATAATACTATTAATATGATGTGAGTTTTCTAGAGAATCATTATACATAGTTATTTTATACAGGGTTTCCACAGTCTGACATCATTTCAGAATTCCCTGACTTTTAACTGACTTAGGATTAGTTTTCCCTGACAAAATAAATGCAGCCGTTTGTCTTTTTGGTAACTACATCAAAATTACCGCTAGATGGACAAAAATCACGCCATCTGGCGGAAAATCACCCGGCTTTTTCAAATCTCGCGGCTTTTCCAAATCACGCAAGAATGTGTACAAATCAACAAAAATGGCGCCGGCTAATGGGCTGTAGAATCCTCTTCCTCTAAATATTTAATTCTCTGTGAAAAAAGTGCCGATCATTCTTTAATAAGATCCTCGTCAAACAGAAATGCAACGTTTGTTTTAAAGCTAGTGGAGGAGTTTTTTTTTTTTTTTTCATGCACAAAACTGCGGAAAAAAACATGATTAAATCGGGAAATAAAACAGCATGATTAGCTGTAAGGAGTTCAGAGACAGAGCAGACTCTATGTAACGCGTATTACTGAAGGTATGTTGGCCTGACACCGTATGCTGAGCTGACAGATCAACGGCTGGTGGCTGCATGACAGCTCACGGATAAGCAACGGGTTTTGAGAAGACCGTCGACTGGAACCTTCTGCAAAACACATCTCCATCAGTTCAGACTGAACCATCGAAAACACAACAAAGTTGAAGCCGTTTCCCTTCCTGCACCGCATGTCCAGCCTCTTTATCAAACCTCAGAGCTGACAGAAACTCTGCAGGGTGGAAGTGAGAGCTACGTTCACCATCACCAAGGTTTGAAAACAAAAAAGCTGGTAGAAAATTCGAGAAAACTTTATGAGAGAAGGACTTCAGTTGAACCTTTTACAGCAGAGGCCAAAGTGGTTCCGTCAGATTAAGCTCCATTAAACATGGATTCTTATTCCCACTCAGACTGCTGGGAAGACTCCAGGAGTACGGATGAACCGGGACAAGATAGATTTATCGTTTTATATACGTCACAGATCACATTCTGTTTACTTCTAGGGGCGGGCTTTACTCTAGATAGGAGGAGTGAAGACATTTCTATTGGTCGGCTGGACGTTAGCAACAACATTTCTATTGGTGAAGAGGGATTTTCTTTTTAATTTTCAGTTATTAAAGGAGAATTCTGGTTTTTACACTTTTAGCCCATTTTCTGTAGTGTCCAGGATGAAATCGAATGATCGACACCAAAATTTTGACAATTGCTCCTGTCTCTGCTTTTTGGCTCATGCAGAATCCCCCCCTGGCTGCTTCATAATGGCTGCCATAGTGCATGTCCGATAATGTCCTTAAAACAACCTTAAACGTTCTTTTTTTAAAATATGCTACTCACCGGGTCGTCAGCGCTGTTCAATGACGTTCCAAAAAAAGTTTCGTGAAGAAAAACCATTCCTGTAGTGTTTTATTTAGCATTTTGTAAATCCCAGAACTATTTTTTCCGATACATCACAACCGCTTATAAACTTCCGCTTCCCGTTCGAATCTGAAGCGTTGCACACTCCAGACCACTAGTTGGCGACGGTATCCTCTACCGACAAACTCAAAGTCCAATATGTCCTCCTCAAGAATCCACCTTTCGTATTCCATTTTCAGAGTTTTTTAAAGTGTTTAACAGAGACGTTAGCACCTCGACGTCGGAGTACACAGAGTGAAGCAGAAACACTTGGGCCTTGCGAAAAGACTACAACTGTGTAAACAGGCCCCATTTCCGTTTCCGGTGGCGGAGGGATATTGACTATTCCAACAGAACTCAATGGGATTTACAAAATGCTAAATAAAACACTACAGGAACGTTTTTTCTTCACGAAACTTTTTTGGAACGTCATTGAACAGCGCTGACGACCCGGTGAGTAGCATATTTTAAAAAAAGAACGTTTAAGGTTGTTTTAAGGACATTATCGGACATGCACAATGGAAGCCATTCTGAAGCAGCCAGGGGGGGATTCTGCATGAGCCAAAAAGCAGAGACAGGACCAATTGTCAAAATTTTGGTGTCGATCATTCGATTTCATCCTGGACACTGGGCTAAAAGTGGGCTAAAAGTGTTAAAAACCGGAATTCTCCTTTAAGCATTTAGCAATAATGGAACAACATCTACTCCATACTCAAGGAACATCTATACCAGGTTTGATCAAGTGAAGCGATCGGAAGCAGGGAATTCTGGAGAGAAGCAGGAATCTTGGCAAAGCCTTGCAGCTGATGAGCTCATTGAAATATTTCTACGGCTCACCTTCATTTTATCCGCCTGAGACATTTTCTTTTCTCGTTGATCGACCTGAAAAAAGCAGAGGAGCAGTTTAGGAGCAGTTCAAGGAGGAAAAAACCCTAAAACATAAAGTCCCCCCCCCACCCCCCCCCCCCAGATTGATTTCCTGCCATATTTTCACACAGAGGCTTCAATGAGGGCAAAGAGACAGGAAGTCTACTCAGAATGGCTTCTGAGAAAGAAAAAAAACTGTTTCCCTTCATTGCAGCTGCCTCCTCTTCACACACACCGACTTTAATCTCTAAAGACTAAAATCTGCCGCTTTAATTAATCCAGCCATCCCTGTAATTTGCTTCATTAGGTTTGTATCAGATTACTGTCATCTAGTGTACTTTACTAAGAACAACAAGGATGTGAACACACCCACATTAAAGATTAAAAGCATTAAATCTACGTTTAACTGGAAGAAACAATTACATTTAAAAGTTTATGTCCGTTTTGTTTAATTGTGGTTGTTATTTGAGGTGTTGAGCTAGTTTTAGTTTAGCTAATTCAATCTAGAAGGAGCATCTTTAGCAAGCTAATAAACTAATTAGCCCTGTAATTAGCTGGCTAATAAAAGCGAGCTAATTATCTATTATTATAACTAACAAAAATGACCGGAACAGACAAATAAACATGTTTATCAGACTAACAGAGCATATTAGCTGATTATCCAGCAGCTCAGGGTTAGCAGCTAGCCGCTTAGCTTCGGATGCAGGATGTTAACTAGCAGCTAACCGTTAGCTTCTCCTGTTAATGAATAATAAATAAAACATGAAGCTCAGAGCAGAATCAGGTTAACTTACAGCGAGAGAGAAGGTGGAGGAAATAAGATGGAGGTCCGGGGAGAGGAAGGACGAGCTGTCGACGGAGGAGAAGGTTTGGAGGCGGAGAGTCAGCGGAGAGATTCTTCAGATTCCGGAGCAGCAGCAGCAGCTTCCTTTAGACCACAATGCAACAGGGGAGCCTGAGGAGCCCAGAACCAGGAACCCAGAACCAGCAGAGGAGCCCAGAACCAGGAGTCCAGAACCAGGAACCCAGAACCAGCAGAGGAGCCCAGAACCAGGAGCCCAGAACCAGCAGAGGAGCCTGAGGAGCCCAAAACCTGCAGAGGAGTCTGAGGAGCCCAGAACCAGGAACCCAGAACCAGCAGAGCCCAGAGCCAGGAGCCCAGAACCAGCAGAGGAGCCCAGAACCAGGAGTCCAGAACCAGGAACCCAGAACCAGCAGAGGAGCCCAAGGAGCCCAAAACCTGCAGAGGAGTCTGAGGAGCCCAGAACCAGGAACCCAGAACCTACAGAGGAGTCTGAGGAGCCCAGAACCAGGAGCCCAGAACCAGCAGAGGAGCCCAAAACCTGCAGAGGAGTTTGAGGAGCCCAGAACCAGGAACCCAGAACCAGCAGAGGAGCCCAGAACCAGGAGCCCAGAACCAGCAGAGGAGCCCAAGGAGCCCAAAACCTGCAGAGGAGTCTGAGGAGCCCAGAACCAGGAACCCAGAGCCAGGAACCCAGAACCTGCAGAGGAGTCTGAGGAGCCCAGAACCAGGAACCCAGAACCAGCAGAGGAGCCCGAGGAGCCCAGAACCAGGAGCCCAGAACCAGCAGAGGAGCCTGAGGAGCCCAAAACCTGCAGAGGAGTCTGAGGAGCCCAGAACCAGGAACCCAGAGCCAGGAACC